CATTCCCGCGCAGTATTTAAGCTTTAGCCATTAGATCTAAGCGAATTGCGCAAAACTCAATTCCTACGGCTTACAGCAGAACTGGCCACAATCTGCACATTTCGGGCGAAATTCAGTAGGTGACGCCTACCGTCCCCCTCGCACGAAGACGGCGTAAAGAGATTTGCCGTTGAGATGTGATATGAGAGTGTCTTCGTCGATCGTCAATGGTTTTAGGCAAACTCGTGGAATGCGGCTGCGGACACGGCCTCAGTGGACGATACAGCCTGAAGAAATAACTATTGGAAGAAACGTGTAAAGATGTTCACCGCGAGTGAATACGCCGATATGATTATAACGTACGGTTTGGCGGGTGAGAACGCACTTGCCGCGGAACATTTATAAAAAGATTTCCCGCGCGCGACAAACCCTCTCGACACACAATTGTCTCGTGTATTGCGAGATTAAAGGCGACGGGATCGGTCCTGCGACATACACGAGAAGATGAAGGAGTGCAGAATGTAAATGCTGAAGAGCGCATTTTGCACGAATTTGAGAGAGACCCCGGCAACAGCACGCGAAAGGTAGTGACTGCATTGGATGTCTCGCGCAATTTGGTGCGGCGCACATTATGGGAGAACAATCTGCGCCCGTATCATTTCTAACGCGTGCAGCAACTTCTCCCAGCAGATGAGCAGAAGCGCGTCTTTTTCTGTGAAGGTATTGGCTTTACAAGTTATTTCTTTTGCTGCCAGTTTATTGATTTTATTAATCACCGTTGAAATGCATAGGTTTACTCATGCAGTGTCGGCGGGATATTTCATTCCCCGACCGCATCCTGTGGACAGACGAGTCGACCTTTACACCGAATGGCGTGTTTAATTCGCGGAATTTCCTATTGTGGCAGGAGAAAATCCACACGCCGTTCGAGAAGGCGCGTTCCAGTACCGCTGAAGTATTAATGTTTGGGCCGGAGTAATTGCGGACCGAGTAGTGAGTATCATTCGATTGAAGAAACTTCTTTCTCGCAATGATTTTCTAATATTTCATAATTTTCAGATCGGTCCGTACTTTTTGCCACCTCGGCTTAATGGCGAGATTTACGCCGATTTTATCAAAAATCAACTCCCAGGGCTACTCGAGGACGTCTCTCTACAGGCACGAGCGGAGTTGATCTTTCAACATGATGGAGCTCCTGCGCATTTTAGCCGGCAAGTGCGAGATATATTAGATACGCGTTTCCCGGAAAGGTGGATAGGTCGAGGTGGTCCGATCACCTGACCGCCGCGATCTCCTGACCTTAATGTGCTCGATTATTTCTTATGGGATCACGTTAAGAATTTAATCGAACAGCGGCGTGATGGTACAGAACAAGAAGTACGTGAGGCAATTGTCGCGGCCTTCAATACTATCACGCCGGAAATGACGTACCGAGCAACGCGCGATATTAAACGAAGAGCCAAATTTTGTATGCGAGAAGAAGGACAGCACTTCGAGCAGTTTTTATATTAATACATTAATGTACAGTGGATTAGGCCTCCTGGGGATACCACTATAAAAAAAACGCGCTATGCTATCTACCGCTAGGTGGTGTGAAAAGGATAGCACCGATAATCGTCTCCGCGAGGAGAACGCGTGACGAAAACGCGCATTTATAGGGTGGCCGGTTATAAGCTGCCAACCCGAAGTGTGAAGGTAAATTGGGTTAAGATAAACATAAAAGTCCCATATCGTGTTGCAAGATTCGCAATAATTATCGAGTTATTAATGACAGAAATTTGAGGAGTAGAAGCGCACCGACATAGCGGGAAGACGAGGGGAAGGACAACGCGCCGCTATTCGTTGTTTTATCTCGTCGGAATTACGTCTCGCCGCACGCCGCCCACAGTTGCTGGGCCGAGTGGGCCGCGCCGTAGCCTGAGCAGCTTCAACGTTTCTCCAATCATTTATGCCGGCGCGCTCCCACTCTTCAAGATTTCTGTCATTAATAACTCGATAATTATTGCGAATCTCGGTAAACGGTATGAGACTTTTACGTTTGTCTTAATGTAATTTACCTGTACACTTCAGATTGTAAACTTATAACCACCCACCCTGTATATATATATATGCGTATGCGCACACACACACACATATATACAGGGTGTTTGATAGCTGATCATGCAGACGAAAGTTGAAGATAGATTGGGTGTAGCCGAGAAGAAAAGTCATGTACCATAATGTCAAATTGCCAATAGTTATCGAGTTATTAATTAAAACATGTGAGCCAACGAGCGCGTAGAAAGCGGAGGGCGACCGCAGTAAGCACGTAGACATTTGATACAGGCGGAGTCAGTGAGTGACGGTAGGCAAACGCGCGCGACGAGGAGCGAGCGAGCGCGAACGACGAGGAGCGAGCGAGCGCAAGTGACAAGAGGCGAGCGAGCGCGACGAAGAGCGAGCGAGCGCGAACGACGAGGAGCGAGCGAGCTATAAGGAAAAACCTATAAAGAAAAAGCTCGCTCGCTCCTCGTCGCTCGCGATCGTCTGTTGTCGCTTACGTTGCCCCTCGTCGCGCGCGCTTGCCTACACTGCAACTCGCTGACTCCGCCTGTATCAAATGTCTACGTGCTTACTGCGGCCGCCCTCCGTTCTCTACACGCTCGTTGGCTCACATGTTTTAATTAATAACTCGATAACTATTGGCAATTTGACATTATAGTACATGACTTTTCTTCTCGGCTACATCCAATCTATCTCCAACTTTCGTCTGCATGATCAGCTATCAAACACCCTGTATACATATATATGTAATATATATATATATATAATATAATATGTATATATATATATGTATATATATATATATATATATTTATAAATCACGTAAACATATTTATTTTAAAGTGATTATTAAACGAAGCAACAATTTTAATGATAATATGTCGCAAGGGTACGTCTCAGCCGATTTCTTATACAGCGACGGGCCTGAGCGCATCACGATCGTCGCCCTAGCCACTGAGCGCGGAGCGGTGCGAGGGGGGACGGTAGGCGTCACCTACTGAATTTCGCCCGAAATATGCAGATTGTGGCCAGCTCTGGCCTAGAGCATAGAGCTTAAAGCCGACATATAGTTTTCAGTCAATCAGCGAAATGGACGTTTTTTGTCGTGTCAAAAATACACCGTCGATCGTGGATATAACCTCGCTCGCCGATATAACCTCCGATTTTGTACTCCATATATTTGTAAAAGATGCACATTCCACGAACACAATACCATTGTTAGCAGGAGAGCTTGACGTAAATCCATCTTGGTTATGTAGAAAGTAAAGAAACTGCGTGTTTACAAACGCATTATCACCAACCACCAAGTCCGAATAACCCTTCTCTCATTGGCTAATATACGTCACGTTTTACGCCTTACGTTTTATATTGTGGATTACCGTCTTTAAGGTTTATTTAACAGTTTTCAGCTTACAGCTTAAGGCTCGTCTATAATAGCTGTAAGAGTAAGGCTGTAAGGCTGTAACGTAAGCTGTCAGCGAATGAAAATATTTCATTTCGTGTCTTGCAACCTTACAGCCTTACTCTTAGAGATAAAATATTTTCTTAAGCTAAGATTCCATGCATGCGGTGAACTGCGGCAAACGGTTGCGGTGACCAATCAGGAGGGAGGCGCAAGTCCGGTTGCGGCAAGCTCCGGCATGCGTCTGTCTCCTGATTGGTCACCGCAACCGTTTGCCGCAGCTCACCGCATGCATGGAGTCTTAGCTTTAAAGCGAGGTTGTAGACATATGGCTCCTGCACACAGAACGCGGCAACGCTTGTCGCGCGGTGGAAGTTGGAGCGATCGCCAATCAATGTCCTGCTTTCCTCAAGAGCTGGAAGTTTATTACAGAATAGCGGCACGTTGATTGGCGATCGCTCCAACTTCCACCGCGCGGCAAGCGTTTCCGCGTCCTGTGTGCAGGAGCCATTAGGGAAACTTGGTAACTTTTTTCATCATTTAACTTACGATATCTCGCTAACTATTCGTCGAAAGAAAAAATAGTAATAGTTGAACTTTTTTACTTTACTTACTATCAAGAATATATTACTATAATAGTACCTTAATTTTTGTTAATTTAATATTTTTATAATTAATTTAATAATTAATTTAATAATTTTGAGATTTCCAAAAATCTATAAGTTAACAAAAATTAGGGCACTATTATAGTAATATATTCTTGATAGTAAAGTAAAAAAGTCTAAAGCCAGCGGCACACGGTGCCTGTTTTCGTGCTGGATTGCTTGCTGGATGAAAATACTGCGATCTGATTGGTACATTTCCGAAGATGGATGGAAATGCACCAATCAGAACACAGTATTTTTATCCAGCAAGCAATCCAGCACGAAAACAAGCACCATGTGCCGCTGGCTTAATACTATTTTTTCTTTCGACGAATAGTTAGCGAGATATCGTAAGTTAAATGTTGAAAAAGTTACCAAGTTTTCCTTAAGTATCTCAAAAAATATTAAACAAATAAAAAAATGTTTCAGACAAAATTTGTTAAAATTAATTGGTAGAAAAAGATGGTATAATAAAAAATTTGGATTTCTATTTAAGAAAATTGATGATCAGTGAATATCTCGAAAATGGCGCCATCTATAAGCAAAATGCTATTTGCTGTCTTATGTCTCTCTTCAAGCCAAACAACTTTTGTCTGAAACATTTTTCGATTGAACGCAGTGTTTCTGAGATATTTGAGTGAGTCCTTTAAAATGGGACATTCTGTAATGTATATTTTTTCTACGAGAAAGTGAGATAGAAAAAAATATCTGTAACGCTATTGGTTAGGTAACACGGCCGCGCATGTGCAGTCCACCCTTGGAGACGTGAAATTTGGAGTGTTGTTACTGTGGTTGCGTTCCGATATTCATTGCCAACATTGAAATTCTATAATATACGTAACACAAACTATGTATTTTCAGTACTGGCGGTGAATTTTGGAACGAGGCCCATGCATAGTGTGCTAGTGCAGCTAGTGTACTGCTGCAGTGCATTGCACGCTAATAACGGAACAACTTTTCAGTACTGCCAGTACTGGTAGTGTATATCGGAACTTACGGCTTAAATTAAGGTATAAATCGTCTTGTCCATTTAATAAGAATAAAAACTTTTTTATCTGACGATGAATTATATTATTGAAAAATAAAGATATTTAAGAAGATAATCAAGAAAGTCTTCAAAGGCAATTCAAATAAGGTATGTAAAAATAAAATATTGATTTATCTCTCTAACATTACCTAACCTTGCTTTAATTTGTAGTGACATCCTCATACTATCAAATATATAAAGCACGATACCTATGCAAATAGATTTTAGGATATAAGTTGATTCAAAATTGTCTACTGATCCATGATATTTGCCACGATGACTTTTACTTATGTCAAATACTGAAAAATTTCAAGACATGTGTGTATGTGCTATAACTTCATTGGAATTTGTAAGTAGGTTATGGTGATCTATGACAACAATGGACTGACCTTTACATTATATTATACTTTTGCATAGATTTATCACGTGCACGTATTTCGTCGATATCAACGATCATAAAGTAATTAGACTAAATCTCGACTGTTTCATATATATATATATATATATATATACACATATATTATTTATCATCCAATTCCTGTTTTACTAGTATAATATAATATGCTATTATTGGGCTTACAGGTGCATTATAAATATTATTAAGCTGAGCTTGTTATAATAATTATGAAAAGAAGGCATGGATGAACATAACAGCGATCTTTATGAACAACAGCTTTATGCTGTGTTTGAGAGTTGTTTGACAAAAGGAAAGGATGAACTTGAAGAAAATAATTTACCTTCTATATGTAGCAAATTACATCTTGATGGATTAACCGAAGAATTAAAATCATGCATTTGTAAACACGCAGATAAGCAAAGTATATCCTTTCAAGAATTTCGGGATGGTTTATTACTTCTGTTGAAAAGATTTCAAGGATTAGTTACAGATAGACAGTGTATTGTACAACCTTATTATAATTTGAATACATGTAATGTCGATATCAAAAAGAATGAGCTTTCAACACCAATTAATAACGTATCTAAAGTTCATCTTCAGGAAATAGAGGCTAGAATCACAATGGATGAGAGTAAATTGATACACTTCTGGGAGAAGATCAAAATTTACTTGAGGGATTACACAGATTCTACAGCTATGCAATTCATATTGAGTTGTGCAGGAATTCCAGAGCTTCCAAAACAAATCATAGAATTTATCTTCGAGAGACTCGACCAGAACTGTGATGGTTTGATTAGCTTTGATGAATTTATCATTATATTCCAGAAGAGAAGGAGCACAGAAGCCTTGCAGGAACATAATGAATCTCATAGTATTGTAAACTGTAATGTAAATACATTAGATTTCAGTATATATGAGCCTCATGGAACTGATTCTATACAGGCTGACAAGAGTATAGATAAAGAGGAAGTTGCTGGTATTTCTCGCGTGTCGACGATATTGCCCAATAGAGATCTCAATATCTTGGATTCCAGTCTAGTAGAAGTAACGAGTATTATATGTGACGAACTTAAAAGTTTGAATGAAACGTTAGATGACGATACCATCCAGTCTCATATCAGCTTACTACGTGAGATGCTTACGCTTTATCAGAATGAGCAACGCAATCTGAGCATCCTGATAGAAAACATGAAAGCAGAGAAGGAAAAGATGCGTATCGACATGTTAGAAGCTAATGAACGGGCGAATTTATTAGCGCAGGAGATCGATGAACATCAGGCACAATTGGAGAAGACTAAAGAAAGTCTTCAGAAACAGAGTCAACAGCGTTATGCCGAAATCACAAAAGAACTGTCAAATCAGCTAAATATTGAGCGAGAAATAGATGCTGCAGCCTTAAAATCAAAAGACGATCAACTACAATTATTGCAAAGGGAGAATCATGATATGAAAAATAAATTGATTAACACATTGCAAGACAATCAAATGCTTGAGGCAGAGAACGGGACTCTCTTAGGCCAAATTGAAAAGCTCAGGCAATCCAACAATGATTTGTTAACAAGGATGAAAATGTTAGATGCGGAGCATGATGAGATACAAAGTCTAGAAGCGAAGCAACAGGAGCAAGTGGATTTTTTTGTCAATCGCATCAAGCAGCTACAGTTGGAAGTGACCCTCTTGCGAGACCAAAACGACGAGCTCAATGCGGAACTGGAAACTTTGAAGTGTTATAGCAACGATATAAGGCAAAACGAGACACTGTCCTCTTTGGCGTATGATTTACAATTGGACGAAACTCCAGATGAAAATCGCATAACGACGTCACAATCGTTCCAAGAGGCCCGACAAATCGATGCGAAAGTTCCATTTGAGTTTAATTTTTCATCAAACGAAGGGCAGCTCGACACATCAGATTCTGGTGTCGTAAATGTTGAAAAGCTAAGAAATATGTTTGTTAAAAATCTAGAGAATGTGCTATTGACAAGTACGAAGTGCATTTCAGAAAAATGTGCATTGAGCAATAGTGTAGCGAGATTGATCAATAATCTGCAATCGAATCTTTCGCTGCATTGCTCCACGCGGGATTTTGGGAAGAGCATAGCGTCTGAGCTCGAAATGGAATGCGAGAAACGGACACACGAATCACTACGAGATTTAGTCGTTTCCAAAGCACCGAAATCGCTTCTGACGAAACGTACAATGATGTCGAACAGCGCAGAAGATCTTGACGACTTCGCCGATCAAGACGTAAAGAGTGCAACGCAAAATAAGACAACAAGTCTCAGAGATTACCCACCACGGAAAGAAGAGCACTCCGCGGAACAATGCAGAACTAATAAGGAGAAAGATAGTTCCCTGGACATCACTGAGGTTGAAAATACTTCGAAGAATATCTTGTTGAACGCAAGATTGCAAGAGCTCGAGGCGAAACATGTGACAGAGAAGAAGCAGTTGACAGAGCGCTGCTCGGAACTTGAACGCAGTCTAGATCTATTGAGAGCCGAATATGAAGAATGCGAAGATTATTGGGCCGCTAAACTTGAGGAAGAGAGACAACTCTTTGAGCAAGAGCAAAAGATCAGTGACGACAAGCTTGCTGAGCTTATTAATAAAATAGCGGAATACGAAGAATTAATTAGTCCTTTAGATAAGTCGAAAAATAACGGACGATTGTCCCCGATAGATGAAAAGTTTAATTTGGAGCAACAGGTAAGAAACAAAGAGAGAGAGAGAGAGAGAGAGAGAGAGAGAGAGAGGGAGGGAGGGAGGGAGGGAGGGAGGGAGGGAGGGAGGGAGGGAGGGAGGGAGGGAGAGAGAGAGGAGAGAGAGAGAGAGAGAGAGAGAGAGAGAGAGAGAGAGAGAGAGAGAGAGAGAGAGAGAGAGAGAGATGGAATATATTTATATCTTATATAGATATTTATAATATTTGTAAATTATAGGAAATAAGTATTTTGGATTATTTATACATTTAGCTGATATATTGTTTTATAACATATTTTTAATATAGTGTATCTGTAATGTTGCAGTATATAGATCTTGAAGAGGAATTTGAGAAATGGAAGATAAAAACTGAGAATGAAATCTCCCAGAAGAATTTGGAGATAGGGGATCTGCGTGAGAAATTAAGATTAACGGAGCAACTAGTCACAAGTGATTCGTGGGTGCAAGTACCGGATGAAATCTCTTTGCGAACATTGTCGAATCTGTCGCAATGTAAATCTTCCAGTGCGTCTAGCATCCCGTCGATGAATGAGCCAGTCGAGAATTTAGATCTACAAACATCTGATACAAACAATCAAACGTATTATAGCTCAGAACACCCATCATCTAATGATTCTAACAGGCTAATAAAACAAGATCAAATCGACGGTGTTAATTTGAACATTACGCGTGACGAATGTTCCACGAAGGAAGTGAAAACCACGCATAAGGATAAGAAAAACAAAATATATCAAAAGAGATCGCACGTTGGTACTAAGGTGAAGGAGAATGATAAGTGTGATTCAGATTTCACATGGATGCATAATGTACTGATGCAAAGTTTGAACGGAGTTAACTGCCATTGTACACAGAATAATACGCAGCCACGCATGTGTTGCATTGACCCGAGCGTTTTGCAGAATCTGAACATGAAACTTTACGCACAAGAACGTAAGAAACGACAGTTACAGCATTACTTCAAACGACAACAGCAACAAGTTGAAAAAATCTTACAGCGTAAGTCTGTTCATATATTTTAAGATGTTATTATGAAATAATTTCATAAGATATTAATCATGTACTCTAGACAAATGTTATGTTTCTTTTTATTCGTTTCGTTATGTGTCATTTTTTATTTTATTAAAAATTTCAAGGAAAGACTATTATAATTTTGCTATTACAGGTATTATGACGCAACATCAAACGGAATTATTTGAATTACAGTGCCTCCTTCGTAATACACAAGAAAGGCTCCAAGTACAAGTTCAAACGACCGTTGATCAGGTACGGTAACATGAAATACACATATACATGCGCGTATATAATAATTATATATATACTTACAGTTAATATGGTTTGTTTAACAGGCCGACAGATTAGCTAATGCTGACATATTAGTAAAGGATTTATATATAGAAAATGCATGTCTCACAGAGCACATAAAGCGTCTGCAAGAACGATGTCTCATCTTGAGCGGCCTCAGTATGGAAACTACTTCAATGTGATGTTCAAGTAACTATTACGGGTATGATAAGTTCAATTTATGCGTCATTGTGTGTATATGTACCGAGCAATTATAAATTATTTATTTTTATGCGATTATTAGCAATTATACGGATTACGTCGTGAAGCCCCGATGACTCAGGGATGCATAAGGTTGGGAAATGTATATTGTGTAGCACAAGTGCCTTTAGTTTTTAATTTAAATTTAAGACTAAAGTGAGACAAACTTCGCTTTAATCGACATCATATTACTTAGCAATGAAAATTTGATTTATAGGGGCAATTATCTTATAAATAATATATAGTAAAATATTACGTGCGTATACATGCACGCACACGTAAGTACACACACACACACACACACACACACACACACATATGTTCATTCACTCACACCACATACATTCACTCATTCACTCACTACACATACCTAAGAAAAGAATGAAGAAAAGTAATCGTAACCGGAATTGCGAGAAAGTTCTCTTTTTTACAATAATTTTTTCTTAACTGTTCAATTGTACTAAATGTATTTGCCCTGATGCAAAGCAAATATTCGGATATAGTTATCTCACCTTATGCAGAGTCATTTAGTGTGCACATGTAAAACATTATTACACGGAAAATTAGAATTTATTAGAAAAAAATTATAAAGAATCTCGCTTCCGTTGTTTCTCTATAAATAATTGATAGATGCGGGCGTGCACACAAATGCATATGCATATGCAAATACGTATGTAAAGGAGACTGAAAAATATTCCCTAGAAATAAGTAATTCTACGTTTAATGATGTAGTTACAGTCTATTGCAAGACCGAATGTAAGTCACTATAAATTAGTTTCTTAAATATTTCTAAAATAATGCAAATTAAGAAAGCTGATCCAACAGAAAGAAAAAATACATAATACATATAAAAGAATATATGTTGATAATTTTTATTAAATGGAAAAGGATACAAATATATGAAAGTCATATATCTTTTCTCTTTTTTGTAACAAAAAGTGTACATTTTTTTCAAATTTATGATAACTTTTCTTTATGTAGATCTTTTCGATTCGTTCTATAAATGTGCATATTAAATATACAAATAAATATTTTATATTTTATATTTTGTATTTCATATTTTATATTTTGGAACATATTTTCTTATATAAAATATGAAATATTAAAAGACTCATGTATGTTTCACTGAATGTAGCATTTTTTTTTACACAGAATATCGAGAAAAAATTATATAAAAGAAGCACATTAAAATATCTTTAAAAAATATCTCTATTTGCAAAAAGCAATTACAGATATAAGTCAGTGTATCCATTTCTATCATATAATTTACATTAAATCTATTTTTTTGTGTATATGTCTAATTTGTATTATTTTAAAGATATTTTTAAGGCAACATTAAATAAACTATTAAAAAATTAAAAATAAAAGATATATAAAATATATTTTAGAGACAACTAAATTATAGTGATTTATTTATATATATATATGTTTCTTATTAATTATTTAATGATAAAAGTATAAAAAAGTATAAAAAAAGGTAGCACAAGAGGTTTATCATATTTAGTAGAGTTGAAAATAATGAATTACAATTCTGATGTAATTTTTATTAATCAATCTAGTCTTCTCTCCATATTTTCATTATATATCAGTATATTTATTTCATCTAGAAAAACTTAAATCCCTTTTTAAGAAGTAATTTTATTTAAGATAAATGAAATCTAAAGTAAAATATAACGATAAATCTCTTGTAGCAACCTTTGATAGTAGCTAGATTTAATTTTTATATAGTTATATATATCAAATTTATACATATGTCTTTTTGGATTTTGTTTCCACCTTTTTAATATACTCATAAACACTCTTAATGTATATATTGAACTGTTTTGAGCTCAACCAAAATGCCCAAGATACCAAAGTTTCCAAAATAATTGCTACAATAGCGAATTTTTCATGGCATTTGATCTGCAAACATCCCGCAATAATAATTACATTTGTCTTGAATTCAAATATCATGAAGAGTTCTTGATGTGCAAAAATTTTGGATTCTCGGTATCTTCAACATCGTTCTAAATATTGACTGATTTTGAATCTTTTTAAAGTAATAGTGCTAATTGTTAATGAGTCACGAAAGGTCGAAACAAAATTTAGCAAGGAATTCTTTGGTCACCTCTATTGTATATTCCATATTTTAATAACTTTTGTTTTCAAAATGTTCTATTTTAAATATTTAAAAGGCAAACGCAAATACATACATGCGCGCGCACGCGCACACACACACACACACACACACACACACACACACACACACACACACACACACACACACACACACACACACACACACACACACACATATACACACACACATACATGTACACAATGTATTACAATGAACGTTGAGATATAAAGTTAGTAATACATATTCCTATATCAGATAATGATCGTGCTAAAATTATCATCAGTATTGTTCTTGAGCATTGTTCTTTAATATGTATATGATATTATATCGTGTTCTAGATTTAAAAAAATTTAACATTTCTTGATGTAAAGATTTCAGTACTATGCAAAGAAGCAATGGCATTAAATGTTCTTAACTTTGTTTTTAATATGGTATATATATTGTGGCTTTGAATGTGATATAATATATCACTGTATCACTTGCAATAATTCCTAAATGTACGCAACAATATTTCATTTACTACGCAGATTAAATAGTATAAAATTACATCATACATAATATGTAAAGATCACTCTCAGTACAAAAATTGCAGATTATAATTATTTCAACATATGATATATCAGATCATAGTATGTATTCAGAATTAATTAAATTGTTAAATAAAAAATAATAAATATTTTACAATAAAATATTTCGAGAAGTAGTGAACATAAAAAACATAAAAATATCTTAAAATATATTTAAAATATACTTAAGGTGTTAGTTTTAAAAGTTATCAAACGTTATTTTTATATTATTTTGTCAATTGTACCTTAGTTTTGCAATAATTAATTGGAAATAAAGAGTCTTAAAGGGAATAAATTTCAGAATAAAATGTTAAATGAACGTATGATAGAAACTTTATTTTCTGAATTATTGAGAAATTATTAAAACTCAATCACTTAAATTTGAGTAAGGAAAAATAACATATACATATATATAAGCTGCGTCCCCCTCCTTCATATTCATTGTTAGTACTGAAACTATAGAATATATGACATGAACTGTAGATTTTCAATGGTGGCAATGAATATCAGAACACAACTATAGTATTTTACTAATAGTGATTGTAACACGCATGCGCGAGTGACAGGTATGGCTGGCTCCAGACTTAAAGACATGTAAGGACAGAGTGTATCTTGAGATTTAACCTTCAAAGTCTGACGTTTAGGAAAATAACAGCAGTAGCAATATAAAAATATATGACGCATAAGACGTGAGTCGCCTATGGCTTCTTTTAACTCTTGACGTTATAAATATAAAAATAAAGATAATTAATAACGTTATTTGAATTTGGTATATTTTGCAACAAGCTCCTTGGAATACCTTTGACAGTACAAAAGGTTGTGAATATTATTATTATATACTCCATATTTAAAAATAAAATGGATTAACGATTGTCACAAAAATTATATTTTTGTGAATAATTGTTGTCAAATAATGTTTGATATTTCAGAGAACTACAGACGAGATATCATGAATTCTAATACAATGACAAGTGAAAGTTTATTTAAACTGCAATGTTTAATTAAAACTGCTGAGATACAGCATAGTGTGCAATGCAAGCTCGAGGAAAAGTTATTTTTGGCTCTAGTGACTAACAATTCTGACATTATTCTCTATTTGAAAAGAGAATCTTCTTGTCTGCCTGTGATTAAAAGGATACCTTGGTTTCAAGCACCACATAAACAAATTGCTGCTTTTTGTTTTGATCCATGTGGTGCTTGGTTATTGTGTGTGACACTAGATAGTTCATTATATATAATTCCTGCTTTAGCTCTAGTAGGAGAAAGTCAAGTTTTCAACAAAAAATGGAAGATTAACGATGTGACTTATATCCCTTTCATGACTTCTCAGCTTTCTCATTTCAGGTACTTATCTCATATGACAAAATTGAATATAATAATTATGTTGTTATATATACATATATATAACATATACATATAGCATATATATATATATATATATATATATATATATATATGCTCAAAACAAGATTTATAGCTATTTATATTTTTATATTTTCAGGCCAACCACTATTACATGGTGGAAAGATATAAAAATGTCTGTTGACATAGGTATCATAGGAACTGAATGCGGAGCAATTATACTTATAAATCTCTCCAATGGTCAACAAATGGGCATAATGCACATCAATGGAAGTATTAACAGTTTACAAATTTGCCAAAATGAAAACAATGAGGGCACATTTCTCTTGATAACTAATAAACTTCAGCAACAGTGGCGTTTACTTTTGGAGCAACACACATATAATTTTTTACATAATCTTGAAAGCAAAGAGCCTCATGATAATGTAAATTTAAATGATACTATCTATGATAATATAGAAGTTTCTGTTCCTAGTAAATCCAAATTACAAGAGCTCAAACAGCTCTCTGTTGAAAAGCTGGCGATTCTTAAGCAGAAGTTAATTGAAACTAAAAATCAAACATTGAGAGATAGTAGTAATTCTCAATCTCATGGTTAGTATAATCTAGTAATAAATATCGATTGTATGGATATATTCACTTGGTTTTCTTTAATATTCTTCTTATAGATGTTGAATACTATATTAATTAAGATTATTATTATGGTTATACTGTAATTAAATTAATATTACAGATGCTGCAAGCAATAAGGTAAATGATAGTGGAATTTCCACTAATGCGGAAACATCATCAGAATCCAAATCGGGTTTTATTGGTCCAGAGCCAATACTGAAAGATACCTTTCTCTCTTCACAATATGACAGGGAAGGTCGGCAATTGTATACATATTACCATCCTATTACCAATCATATCACAGTAAGACAAAATGTTTCATAATATAATGAATTAACATAAAAAATATAGCTTTAAGTAAGTTTTTAATATTTAATAACTTTGGCTAATTGGTGATTAATATAGCGATTATCTATTTTAGGTACATGGTTCAGATTTAGCTATGGTACCTTTATCAATACATAAAATATTTGATTCTTGTGACACTGTTTTACTAGCGCACAAATTTTTTTTTGTTACCGATATTAATCAACATATAATATACATAATATCTGATCAATTGTCTGAAACTCATATAAATGGAGATTGTGAATTTAATTTTGAGTCTGTAGTTGGAGTTTTTTCATTTAAGAGCAGTAAAGAAATAATACGTGCGGTGTATAAAGTAACAAAGTTTAATAATGTGATATCAAAAAAAGTTTTTCAAGAAATTGAGAATAAATATACGTTAGCAAAGAATGCAAAAGACTTGAAGATAGAAATACCCACTCTAGATGCTTGCATAATTGTTACAAATCGTTGTGTATACGAAGTTATTTTAAGGTCGGTATGCTAAAGTTTCCTTTTCTTTTTGAGTAAGTTACATATAATTTTAATTATTAATTCTTTTTTATATATTTACCATAGGAAGTCATTTCTATCAGTTTTCATGGAATTGGTATTGAAGAAAAATGAACTAGAGAAAGCGGGAAAATTAGCAACGATCTTTGGATTAAACGGGCAGCATTTTCTAGAGTATGCTGGTGACATATTTCTGTCAAATAAAGAATTCGCACGTGCAATAACTGCCTATAAAATTTCTAAGGTAAAAGTGTTAAATTTTGTAAGATGCATAAACTACATTCAAGGTGACTCGCCAGGGATGCTTCAATTATAACCAATACTGATCTTTTCCCCATCATTTTTATTTCAGTGTAAATTATTGAAAAGTGTATTAAAGTTTGCATCAGTTGGCCATACTTCAGAACTATTGAGTTGCCTCACACACTGTTTACTAACCCCAGCTATTATCGATATGCATATCGCCACTAGAATACATCTATCCAATTTATGTGTACTTGCTTTCATCGAGATGACATTAAGGGTTTGGTCCGAGCAATCTAAAGCAATTTACAAAGAGTTCTTGTAAGTCATGTTTCACGATGTAATCATATCATTTGAAGCATTACTTTTATATCTTCAAAATCAATAAAGATATTAGATGTATTTTATTTATCTCTATTCTAATTCTTTTATTTATCTCTTATTCTAATAATATAAAGTACCTCATTTTTATCATGTTACAGATACTTTTTATCTACAAATACATTTTACGACGAATTGTTAGCTATTAATATAGCTGGTCAAACTTATCTCTGGGAAGTGTTGCATCATTTAGCTACGCAAAGGAGTCTGTATAGTCAGATGTTGGATATTCTTATGAAGGCAGTACAAACGTTTGGCACGAACGATTTTCACCCAAAATCATGTAATGTGTATATATACATAGCCATATATACGTATGAATGCACGTTTCCCAGGCAGTTATTAGCAATCACAAGTAGTATTAACGTACAGAATCTAATATATTATTTTATTCTAGATGGTGTGCTCATATGTTTAAGTGAGTCTGGTCTAATGCAAGCGATGTTACTAAACCATGAGTTAGCTAGATCTCACATGATGTTCGTACGTAGTAATTTACGAGACTCTCAAATTTTTGTGCTTCAGGTAAGAAATCTTAGCTCTTTCGAATATTTTCAAAAGTTCTGCACTATTCTGTTAATTTATAATTTAACATTAAAATTGAATTTAATAAAAATTGAGTTTAATGATTTTGCAAACGACACACGATCAAATTTAATTAGTTTTTTGTAACAGGATGATATATTTTGCAGAGATTAGTGACATTGTACGATCCAACGAATCCAGTATTACGAACTAGATTAATGAAATGTAAAGAACGCCATAGAACGACATCTCATAGTCGACGATCTAGTCAATGTGACTCTACAGACGTTACGGATAATATTGTGAGTAGTAAGTTACCGAAGAATGCAGCGTGTCTTTGAATTCAAATTATCAAAAAGGAAACTATGAATAATTGAAGAATCATAAATTCATGTAAACTTGAATCTAAGGACAACCAATATATATTACGTGTGTGTGTGTGTGTGTGCGTGTGCGTGTGCGTGTGCGTGTGCGTGTGTGTGCGTGCGTGCGTGCGTGCGTGCGTGCGTGCGTGCGTGCGTGCGTGCGTGTGTAATTATGTTCATGTTAATATAACAAAATATTTTATAGGATCAACCAGATACGCTTATAGAGGAGATAATAGAAACATTTATATTAGTCCTATTGACACTTATTCATAAGAAACGGATATTAAATCCGAACTATAAGCCCATCTTTTTGTATGATAAACAGTTACCGGAAATAAGCCAGGTAACACTTGTTTTTTTATTTAGTATATCAGAAAAGAATTTTACTTATCTACAAATTAAATTAATTAAAATTTAAAATATGTTATTCCTCATTTCGTTGCGAAACGTATCAATGCAAAGTGAAAATATGCGATTGCAATTACCGCGAGAATTAAAATGTTCTTTTTTTCATTTCCAGGAAGAGTTACAAATGGCACCGCATGTTAATTTTAAAAAGAAAATACTAAGCACTGGATTTTCTCACGTTGCTCTCATTAGAAACGCCAATGTTTATACTTGGGGTAGTTCAGTGCAAGGTTGTTTAGGTATGTGTAATCTTTTTTGACCTTTGACTTCTCATCAAGCCGTTCTTGATCATTTAATTTGTGATAATGATCATTAGGAATTGGCTCGTGTGTATTGCGGTACGGTGCCCCCCACGCTTTGTGTTTCTTCCGGAGGATGGAAATAGAAGTCTTCAGTGTATCGTGTGGACACTGTCACACTTTGACAGTTACCAATAACGGGATCTACGTTTGGGGAGCCAGTCAATTTGGCCAATTAGGTCTCGGCAAGGTGCTGCAGTGTTCGAGTCCAGAACTAGTCACTTCATTAGCGCAAGAAATAATCGTTGACGCAGTGGCTGGGCAATACCATTCGGTAGCACTGACTGCAGACGGCAGAGTATTCACTTGGGGCTGGGGTGTTCACGGTCAATTGGGCCACGGTAACACCGACGAGAAAAGTATACCGACATTAGTCACGTCTCTGCTCGGTGTAGTGGTGTGCCACATTAGCGCCGGTTATGCACACACCTTGGCATTGTCCGTGGACGGTTTTGTATATGCTTTCGGATGTAATGTACTAGGCCAATTAGGAGTAGGTAGCAACAATAAAAGTTCGATCCCGATGAAAGTGTCGTTACCGGAAGGCATAAAACTTATAAGTACGGGATACTTTCACAATGTAAGCGAGCATAAACGACATATCTTTTCTCATTCTTACATTGAAAATTTGTTACATTGAAACTCCTTGTTACGTTACGTTGAAAAAATAACGAGACTGAGCTCTTTAAACTCCTAATATTATGAATATATAATGATAATTTCATATTCATATGTACTTTTTGCGTTTACAGCTAGTTGTCAGTAATACAAACAAATTATACACATGGGGTGCTAGCCCTCAAGCTCTTAGACTGCAAGCACAAGCACAAAAGAAGAGTCGCATACTAGAGCAACAAGATGCTAGTGAGAAAAGAAACAGAACTTCGGAAGATTTAGAAAAAATGCCGAATAGCAGCCTAAATTTAGACGAAGAAATGAAAGAGTTCTTGGAGAATAACATACAAACTAAGTCGGCACAAACAGAAACGACTTCCAACATAGAGATACAAAAGAAACTGTCCGAGAACTCAAATTTAAAGAATCTGAACACCGGTTTCATCGAAGAAGATCAAACACATTTGAAGCCATCTGTAGTGGATACAAGTTTGGTCAAAGGACAGATTACTCAGGTTTGTTAGAAAATCGATAACATTTCAGTAGAATCTATGAAAAAGTGATATATATTGAATTAAAGCCAACATATAGTGATTAAAGCCAACTTTTTCCCATCAAACCGGGAAATTCGTCATTACTTTTTTCTATTTCCTCTTGCTCTTTTATTGTCTTTGGTTTCACGTAAGGTACATAATGTGCAACTTGTTATTTCTTAGATATCAGCCGGCTGTCATCATAATGCACTGATAACAAAAGATGGTTCTTTATATACATGGGGCCGTAATTTTGATGGCCAAATAGGTAACGGTACAAGACGAGACGTGCCAATTCCGACGCCTTTGTATTATAATTCAGCCTGTATTTTTGCACAAATACCTCCTAGGCATAATGATTTTAAAAGAATGCAAAATCGACAGGACTTGGACAATAATGCTAAGTCGAACGATTCGTTGAACAACGGGAACGTATCTGAGACTAATGGAAATATCTCTAATGCGTTTAAGTCAACGAACACAGAGCACGCTGCTCCGATTAGAGAGAGAATTAATCCTATCATTAACACCGTTGTGATTGCTTGTGGATACGATTATACGGTCGCGATACAACCAGGTTACAAAGAAACAAATATCTAAATAGTTCACGACATTTAGGAATATAGTAACTATCTTCAGATTATTAACTCTCAAATATTATATGTTCCTCTAGGAGGTACGGTGCTAGCTTGGGGTAACAATAGCAGAGCGCAATTGGGTCGTATTCCTGCAAGAGATACACGCGAGACCGATGAGAAACTCGTGTTGCTGAAATCGTCAAAGCGAGTGGTGCGACTTCCTCACACGATGCATGTAGTTTTAGATGTACCTAGTCAAGTGCCCGGTATTTCGACACCAGTGATATCTTATCAAACCAACGACACGTCTTCTCTCGCCGGGTTCCTTTGTCCTTTGAGCATGATCGAGAAGACACTGGGGGAACTGACGCTTCATTACGTTCTTGAATATTTTCATGGCTTATACTGCTCTGGCAGTATTATGGAGAAGGTTCGTTAATCGCTTCGTTAATGGATTAAATTACATGTATTTTGAAAGTTCTAATTATTTTATAATTGTACACGCATTGTATTGTTTAATCGCATAATTATAGAAGCGTAGTAACACAAGAGCTTTATAAATGGGTATATAATGCTTTTATTTTAAAACAACTTCGCAAAGTTAATCTTTTCTGTTGTAGTGTATGGAGTTGGAGAATTATCAGGCTTGTTCTAAAGTAGCTGCGTTAGACGGCAATATTCTGGCTGCTTTTAATTATCAATTAAAAATGTTGCACAAATTAAGTCTTCAGTCATCTGCAAATTATTTAATGCTAGAAACGTCACACGAAACAATAGAGTTTACGGCGAAGATGACTGCGCGAAACGCGGACATATTAAAGAACTCAGAGTCATCCTGCAACATTAAGAGGAATACTGAACTGTTCAACAAACAAGCGGAGAAGAATCTCATGGAATCCTTGGAAGACAGCATGGCGAGAAGCTGGGCAAAAATTCCCACGAGTAGATCATTGAATAATCTGCAGACACTCGCTCAGGAATTATATACTTTCGACTGTCAAGGAGGTTTGGAAGAATTGTGCAGGAATCAGAAAAATGAGAATCCATCCGCGAACGTCAGTATGGATTACTCTGACGTCGAGTCTAACATGAACGAGAACGAGCAACAAGAGTGGATTGAGAACTTTATGTTCAACAAGAATGACTCATTGCCGCAACATAAGAACGTCGCGCACAGTTCCGCACAAAATCTAACCCGATCAATCTGCACAGACACAATGTCGAACGTGAAGAACAATCAAATGGATCAGCGCGATTCGTACAAAGAGAAGAATCTGCTCTCTGATAAAGCGACGTCGCGCTCACAGAGAAATTATGTTATCAACGAAACTATAAAAGCACTCAAATTCTATTTAAGCAACATCGCCAATGAAGCGAATACTTTGAAATGCGAATTATTGCAAAGCGCCATTGATTTCTGGATCGAACACGATTTACCGATACAGAGTTTGGAGAATATTTTTCTCGAATATATATATATTATTTATTACCCACTTGGATTGTTATTGTTCTGGTAAGTTGATGCCACATCATTAACATCATCGTGTACCACTCTACAATGTATATGCAATGTTTTTGATGTCTCATAATTATGCAGTGAAATATCTCTGCAATATTTTCAAGAACTTTTTATGCGTTATAATCTGGGAAAAAATAATTATATAAAATCGTACATAATTATACGCCATATGACCCATTTATATATAAATTTTGTTTCTATTTGTTTTATTTATATTGACCACATATATAATCATGTAATTATATATGTTTACATGAAAACATATATAATTACAAACATATATGTTGGAAAAAATAGTTTTATTCAATTAAATATTAATATCATAGATTATCATAAATATAAATATTTATTTCAATCGTATATGTATATTTTTTGTCTCTGTAAACGTATATAATTATATATGATTATATATAGCCACATAGGAACAAAATTCATATATAATTATTTTATCACAGGAAAAAGATGAAATAATCTATGATATATTTTTCAGTCAAAATGCAATAGGAAGATATCTGGACGCGAATAAGTACAACAACACGGAAGACAAGAGTTTCTGCGTGATCGACTTATTTTCAATCAAGTTCTGCCTTCAAGTATTGTCCTTGTTGTTACAACATATAGATCAAGGTTACTATCTTAATTCGCGAAATGACGCAAATTTATGTTCATTTGGCGTAACGAATAATTGCAATGTTTCAGACGAGATTATGCCTGAATATATCAAAATCTTTTCCTGTCTAATGGCTGATTATTGTGGCGCACCTTTGAACGGATATCCAGGTGCAAGTGGAAATAATAGCCCGGAGCAGATGATGGAGGGTATTATCAGTACCATATTTTCCGAAATGGAAGATTCCAAATTGTTTGCACATATCAAGGTAATTTATCGCTTAAGAGCTGCTTTGTGGAATATCAAGAACTTGTTTTCGATCGATTAACGTCGATCGTTTAATATATATACCAATTAGTAGTCTTTTATTAAATCTGCTTGATGAGTAGCATCAACTTAGTATCATTATTGTTTACATGCATCATAAAAATATGAAGATCATTTAATAGAAAGTTATTTATAAATAATCTACGCAGATATTACTATACACTACATATATTATAATATAATTATATTATAATATATATTTTTTATAAAAACTTAATGTAAACCAGTTTATACTGGTTGCTTCTGCTTATTATACGAAATTTACTTCATCAGGATTCCGATGCTGTACATCGTTTGCTTATGACAGAAGAAGATAGTATGGTTTTCACTTGTGGACACCATTTTCCGATGTCTGTATACGACACAGAAATTATCCCAACGATGGAGACCGAATTGCTGATGTCCCCGTCATTAGTTCTTCCGTGTACGTCGCAATATTTAGGGAACATGTTTTCTCGCTCTTCCAAGCTAGAGATTCTGTGTCCGTTGTGTATAGTCAAAGCATTAAGAGCAACGGTGGAGAAAAATTACGAATGAAAGTATCCAAGATAAATTAGTCGTATCGGAAGGAAAAGTTTTCCTTAGATAATATATATACCAAAGATGACCAATACACCTCTCAGTAGTTTCATAATTATCGATATTTATTACACGTTGACTGCCACGCAACTTTCCATTGATTATTTCAAAGCCTAACACATTCGCGTCCATTGACGTAAAAGAGATAAGCATAATAAGACATCAGCGGCTGCGAATATCAATTACAGTTTGAATAATCAAAAATACGGTAAATGTGATTTATTTAATACATAAATTTTTAATTAAATAAATCTAATTTACGGTGCATATGTCTGTTAGCTCGTTTTACTGGCTCGTTGTTGGCTATATGTTCAATTTATTGTATGCAACGACGTTATGACTGACACACGTAAATTAATGAGACGCGGCAATTTAGTGTCGGTCGTCACTAACCCCCATGACAGTCAACATGTTAACGATGTTAAAAGAATTGTATTGTAAGAATATAGAAATTATTGGACAAATATCTCATCGTGTTAGAAAGCAGTAGTTACCTTATTTAACATTGTAACACACTGTGATTGACATTGTTTCCTCGAGAATAAACTTGCCCTTAAAGAAAGTGATAAAAATAGGGATGTGATAAAAATAGAGATTCAGAGTTTGTATGATTTCATTGCGTAGAATATATTAATTAAATTAGATTGAAATTTGCGCTGGTATAGAAATGATATCTGTTTCATTTTGAGAGACGGAAGAAAGAAAAAAGAAAGAGAGAATGAGATGCAGAGAGCAGAATTAGACGAACAAATATGCGTTATTTATTACGCGTCTGGACTGATTTTTTTCTTGAAAATTTGACAACGTAATGATGAGCCATCGATGAGAAGATAAATCTATATAAACTGTATGTGGTAGAAATAAGATCGTAGATTCTACCGTTTTGCAGTACAATTTGAAACCGTAATGAATGAATAGTTTCTTTTTGGCATTTCTTTGGCATGTATAATATTTCACGTGCCTTAGTATAGCAAAAACGAATAGATCATTTTTTGAACATACATGTGAAATATAATGTATACGAATTAAATCTGTGATTCTCACAATTATATTGATTTGTTCATCTAATTCTGCTAGATTTTTCCGACAGGAAGATGCGTTCGTTCTATGCTTTTGCAAAACAATAATTCTTTGTAAATGTGATTTTTTCGAGATCTCGTATCCAACTTATTATATATTGATAGTTATTTTAGTAACCAATTAGTGGTTAATATATATATATATATCGTTACTTATTTTATATGTATATTTTATTATTCAGGAATACATTAAAATGTATACCTGTCAAGTATATCTATATACACACACACATACGCACGCACGCACACGCACATACATATATATATATATATACATACATATATGTAGATATACATATATAGATATATAGATTTATATATATATATAAATCTACAAATTTAATAAACAAAAAAATAATGGAAATTATTGACAAAGTAACACATATAGTGTAGTAATGGCAATATATGTATGAGATAGATTCTTGTTAAGAATTGTATAAATAAAAATAAAAAGTAAAAACTTGAACTTAGTACAGAACGCATCATTATGGGATGCGCCAAGAATGAAAAATCACTTTAGCTCTTTTTTCAAATATTTCTTTAATACTTTCCTTTTTTTAATATACAATTTCGAAAATTTATCGTTTTTTTCATTTATATAACAACTAAACTTATAAATCGAAATGATATTCTCAAATTGGGTTTGATAATCAACTAAAACAAGTCTGACACTAAAGATTGAAGATTATCATTAAATTACTTATCTCTATATACACACTTGCAACAAAGAATATTTGCCCACTCAAACTTTAAAATCATTACAATAAAACCCAAAACTTAAACTTGAAATCGGCGTATATTAAAACATGTTGATGCAGGAAAAATAAAATGATTTAGAAAGGAAAAAGAAGAAAAAGATAAATTATGTCTTAAGAACCATATTTCTTAGATTTTAATAATTTTTCTCATAAAGAGATCAAATCAGCGTCATATATATAACTTGGATAATTGTTTTTTGATAAAAGACGGATGGAAGGCCATTTCAAAACAATGTGACTTTATTCGTTCATATGGTCGATTCATGTGAAATTTACGTGTACTAAGTAGCTGTTACAGTTACAAAGAGTAATTCTCGTTTACGTGAGAAACGTACCACTGCTTTCAAGGACATCGTTCCTGTCTTAATCGACGTATGAAGGACACGTACTATATTTATATTTAACGTTATCTAAACGGTGTAAACTAAATTGCCTCGTTCTTTATAATGACACTTTGTCAGTTTTTAGATTCGGTCGCGTTGCGCGCAGGAATACCCGCTACTATAAACGAGGAACATGTATAATAAATATTGAATAACAGTTGGTACTTATGATAGTACAAAGTAGTAGAATGCAGCGTACACGTACTATAGCAGCGGCTATGAAAGTACCTACTATGCACGAGTTTGTCACATTCGCGCTACTTATCCTTCGAGTTTATCTATTTTGCCCCCTTCCTGTCTCTCTCTATCTTTCTCTTTATTATCGACCTTTACCACATTGTTTCTCTTTTCTTCTTCTCTCTTTCATTCTTCTATATCCTTGTCCGCCTACTCATTCTCGCATACGCACTCTCTTTCGCTCTTCCTCACAATTCTCTCGTCTAATATCTCATCATTTGCATTTTTCTGTCATCATTAATTAACCATTATCATCATCATTGTTATTACTATCATTGTCATTGTCATCATCATTATCAGTGCATCGTCGTCTACATTCGATCGAAAATCGATACTTTCTTTTATAACTTATCGACAACTCGACCGCTGGACAGGATATATATCCGTGCACCTGTTATCGGTCCATCATTTGTTTAGTGTAACACAAACAATAGACTCTCTTCAAAATGACCAACAATGTCTATTAACATCCTTTAGCTATTCACACACTTTTGAAACCATTTTCTCCATCTCGACGTCCGTGTCGATGTCGTGATGTACGTGACTATTCGCACTGCTATTGCTGATCGGTACCATAGTATTAGTGATAGGAGTAGCCACTGTAGTGGTACTACTGCTGCTGCTGCTGCTGCTGCTGCTGCTACTGCTGCTGCTGCTGCTGCTGCTGTTGCTGCTGCTGTTGCTGCTGTTGGTGGTGGTGACGGTGGAGATAGTAGCGGCGATTGCAGATCCTGCGACCGTCAACGGTGTGTTCGGTGTTGTGCTTGGGGTTCCTGATAATTCAATGGGCGAACCTGGCGACGGAAGAGGCTCAGCCAGGTCCTCTAATCCTTCCGGTGTTGGCAGTTTATTCAATTCCTCTCTCAACAGCCTATAATGTCTCTGCGAATGGAAACATAAGGTAAAGCTGTACTCAATTATAAAAAAAAAGGAAAATATAAATAATCCTCTTCTTTCAAAACAATGTTTACCCTCAGCGATAATGCATTTAGAGAAATGCTTCGGCCTGATCTACGATCCGATCCATGCATCTCCATATCTCTTATCCAGGCTTCTAATTGTGCCACAATTTCATGCCTCTTCATCCAAAAGTGAGTATGTATCACCTGTCATGAAATAGTCATGTTTTACCTATGTTCACTGATCGAAACGCGAATCTACGTGATCGACATCGCATGTACATCATGTGTTAAAACATTCCTTTTGTTCTTTAGATGATCTCTATAGATTTACTTTTACAAACACATCTCATAAAGATAAATAAAAATGAAATATTAATATAATCTTATTCTTGCGAAAATATATTAGTACATGTAACGGATAAAAAAGATTTGAGTAATTGGAATATTCTGAATTATGAGAAAGTTTCTTTTTTAATTAATGAGAATATAATTTGTATACGTCGATAACGTACCTCTTTGAAACATGGGCAAGGATTGCGTATTTGATCGAGCATCGCCCACTTAGCGGTAGCCTGACAGATATTTGCATTGTACTCTTGACTAGACTGAGCACCGCTCGATGTGCCTCGCGATCGTTCGTAGCCAGGCTCGTTGAAATAAGGTTCGGATACTAGGATTAGCGATTGTATCGATACTAAGACCTTGTTTAAACATAATTATGACATTAATCAATGCTCCGTATATCGTTAGAACTTTAGAGTACTCGATACTTATTCAGGCGGTATCGATAAGCATTTTGTTATACAATTCGGACAATTCGGAATATGGTATTAATTTTAAATATACGACCGCTTAGATGTACTAATAATCCTGTGAAACATGTTATATATTTCATTAGATTATTTACAAAGTTTAATTTGATTGTCGAGTTAAATGTGATTTTACTATATATTCATTATATACTGTATTATAAAGTAGTTGCGAATGCACGGATTTACGTAAATCGATCCGCCTGAATAAATCCTTTATATTTGTTTCGATCAGCTCACCTGAAGGAAACTACTAGTATGTGCATTCCATTTTTCCTCGGGCCGACCGTGCCATGTGTTGAGTACGCTAAGACAGACCTTTCCGTCATTGTATAAATTCGGATTAAAGCGCACGGTATGACGGCCGGTTGTTTCTAAGTTTATCAACATTGGACTATTAGGATAATCAGGAGGGAAGTACACATCAAATTCAAAACAGCCGTTTGCGTACGGCGTTTCTGCCGGCCCTGTTATGAGTACCTTCAAAAATCGTATACATTGTTATATGCGCAAACCAACGTTTGCATTGTTATATGTAACCAACATTGTTATATGTGAAACCAACGAGCCAAATTCAAATTTCAAGCACTGATGCGTATCGATGAATAACGTGTATGTTTTTTTAGATCTTTTTTTTTGGATCTTTTTCCAGATCTGAATAATATCATAACAAATATTATCACGAAATATGCAAAATATTAATCAGGTACTATTAAAGTAATACGCACCAGTGCATCCAGACGAAATCGCTATTTGATATTGACGCTATTAGTATAAGCTGCTGTAGAAATACGCGTCTGTGCTTGAGAATTAAACGGCTGTTGAGACGACATTAATCCTGCTATTCTATTCGCTTTTTACACTATGTAAAATAGTATTAATTGACGATTTAAAAAAAAAAGAAAAACTTCGGAATGACAATTCCGACGCTTCATACATCGAAAATTACAAAATCAAATGCACTCAAACAGAGCAGCAAGATTAAATTGAGTATCGTGAGAAACTGAGGTACCTTCATAACGTCCAATCTATCCGCATCGCATCTTACAAATACGCTACTACTGTAAGATAGAGGTAACGCCGTCGAGAGGGTGACAGCTTCTTGGGCTAATCTCTTCACTCGTGCCGGATGGCTCCTCTCACCAGCGGCCCTCATGTTTGATTCGAAGTGATATGAGACTGCAAATTTGTAGCCTCCGCCATCTGGATTTTCGCTGATCATTTCATAGGTGTCTGAAAAGTCAATGTATGAATAGTATCGGTTAAACATTTCGATCATAATGATTTCGCTTGTACCAAAACGGAAAGACAATCATGAATATTTTTCTCTAATGTAAACTTGTAAAAATCGAATGTTGCCATATATTTTCAAGTTAGAAAACGTTCACTTTCCAAAAAATAAAGAAAAATATAGTTTCTAGGACTCCCAGGATGTTGCTTACCGAATTGCAGATTCTTCATCACTTCTAAATAACGGTGCTCGATAGAACGCAACGGTAGTTCCGGCGCGGTCGGACTGGGGCCAGGCAAGTCCTCACCGACGCCGGACAACCTACACGTGGCATTCTGCACTATGGTCGCACTCTCCTGAATGTCAGGAATCAATGTGGCCAAACCCTCATCTTGTTCGCTATCGTCTGGATACTTAGAGACACTTTTTGACTTGTTACCCCTAGTACGGTTGATCTTGTGCACATACGTGTCCACACACACCCTCATACTAGACAGGAGAGATACCACTGATGGTTCACCGGATCGACCGCCTCGTGGCAACAACAACGGTGCCAATTGGCTGGACAATGCCATCGCCCTGAGCAGTTGCAGAACCGCTCTGTACAAAGGAATGTGTCTAGCCATATCGAGAACGGAATCGTTGCGCAGGTATGAAGATAGCGCCGGCAACAAGCAGGAACGTGCTAGTAAGTCAGGAAAACCGGCAGGCAGTTCACGTTGAGGCTGTCCGCCTCCCGAGCCGATGTAACTCGCGAGAACTTGCAGCAGCACCGTCACATGCTCATCTTCACATCGTTGTCGCAGCAGCGCCTGCTCGACGTTCCACGATTGTTGCGTAGATCCAGTACCAAAGCCGGTACCCTTTGCCCAATATAGATGAGAATTATCATCACTACGCCCTCCACCGCTCCCACCGCCGCCACCACTGCTGCTGCTGCCGCTTTGACCGGTTCTTTGCTCGACAGTCTCGTTTTGGCCCGTCTGGTGGGTAAATATCGCCAAGCAGTTCAACAACAGCAACATGGCTCCCACCTCTATAGTGGTCCTTCGTAAAAGCAACCCGTCATCGGTGGTCGGTGGCGTGGCGTCCAGCAGTTGTTTGAGAACTTGGAACGGCAAGGTCGGTAACGAAGCCGCTAAAGGTGAGGACAACACCTCGCCACCCTCGCCATCGTCGGAAACGCCAAGTGCGAGTCGTAACAGACACTGCGCTCGTTTCTTGTCTCTCAGCAACACCTCAGCATAACCCGGTAGCCGAAGGAATAAACCGAAAGCAGCGAGAGAATGCGGTGGCACATATGGCGGTGGCGTCGAAGTTTTTGGCGAGGAAGTATATGTTCTACCCTCTTCCAGAGCCTCATAGATGTCGTCGTTGGTCTCCAGCTTCACCCAGTCGGCGTCCGTCTGTTCCGGTGACGGCGATTTTTCTACGAAGGATAACGGTCTACCGGAATCAGGATATACTAGCGGCAAATGGCGCGCTAAGACTGCCAATCCGCCCCCAGCGCTGAACACACCCAGCGAGCTTTCAATGCTCCTATAGTTCAGCAGCTCGCTATCATTCTGTTTCGTTATGTCCTCTATAAAGCGAGAAATACGTTGTAAGCCATCAGCATCATCATATATCAGCATCATTGTCGTTATCATAATTTATTGATCATAATTCATGATATATTATTGTTTTGTATATGTGATATTCTTCTAAAGATTTTTTAATTAAACTTATCCGTAATCAGATAAATAAAACCGGTAGTCATAAAGAAATAAGGGTCTCTGTAGAAATTCACGTCACCCAGATATGAGTGACATAGTGGCCAACATGTTAGAACAACGAATTGTGTACCTTTGGAATCCTTATTGCGTTGACGCAAAATTAAATGCAAACATGGCTCGGACAATGACACGCCGCTGTCTTCGGCGATCGCTAATAATTGTGCGATCGTAAGCTGAAGTGGTAAAGGTGTGTTGGGCCGAGATGAGTGTATTAAATACTGCTGATTCGTTGTGTTGGCTTGGTTCGCCACTGGAGCTTGTCCATTGTTAGTTACAGGTTTATTCACAATCGGTGTTCCATCTGCAAAACAATATAAAAGCAAATAATTATAATAATTCTTCTAAAGCATATGATATATTTAGTGATTTGATATTCGAAAATAATAAAAAGTGAATAATAGCATCGATAATCTTATCACTGGATCAGTCTTGGAATTTTCCTCTACGAATCTTAAATCGTTTCCGATTTTTTCTTCCCCAAAAAATGTAAAGATAACAATGATATAAATTATTCTAAGACTCAACATTGAAAGATTTATTATTTTAATTGATTAAAGTAAGATAAAAAAGCACTGATCGCGAACATACCACAATTTAAACGCGGTTTTCGCACGATAGGACCACGAGCTTGCGATCTATTCGACGCCTCTTTAGCCCGCTTGTCTTTCGCCGTATTTCCAGCGGCCACGCTGAGCGTGTCTACCATCAACTCCATCGGAGGTTGCCAAACCGGTTCACCCACACGGTTATTTTCGCTGGAACTTGCTTCGTTACCTTTATACGTATTTGGAAGTAATAGAAGAAACCAAGTTCCTTAAAAATAAAATTCCACACGACCGCGTAAAAATATATTATACGTAAAGCTATATAACAATCTTTTTTCCAACACTGATTTCCTCATTATTTACGGATTCCTCTAACGCTACCGCTCTAAATTTTCTAACGTCAATGTCGTACTAATTATTATTTCTCTCTAATGCTAAATGTTCCACTATTAATTTTCTACAGACATACCTGATACTTTCCGTAATATATCCGCCACTGTCGCTTGAGTTGGCATGTATAACAGTTGATGATAATGTCCGAACGGATGAGCGGGGTGAGGTGACATGGACGGCATGTTGTAATTCGCCGTTCCTGCTGCAACTTTCATAGGAGCTTCCGAAGTTACGGAAACCAATACTTTCTCTCCTTCCAAGAGCAGTTGCAGAATTAATCTCCGAGTGAACCCGGAAATACCGTGAAGATATCGCACATCTAATCGTAATATAACATATTAGAGTCCAGAATAATCATACGTAAAAATTGACTTCGTTGAGAATTAATCTAGTTAATAATATGTTATTAACGAAATACAATTACAATTATAAAATATGTGTTAGAGCAAGATTCGACAATAGAATCTTGCTTATATACTTGCTTATATCCCGGACATACTTACTCGAAGTTATTCGCTGTTGAGAAATAACTTCGGTCAAAAGTTCCGCCAGCAATTTTTGGTTCGCTTGATGGCACCAGCAACATCTCGATAAGAATTTGATCATAGCGCTTTCTAGCGATGTGTACAACGCGCTCGTTTTTGAACACCTGCAATATGTTGCGAGTTTGAAGTTACCGCATAATAAAATACTCGAAATTAATTGCACTCTCAAACAGATTCTTATTAGGTTGATTCAAAAGTCTTTTCCTATAAACACCGGAGAAGCATTTATGTGAGAACACAGCAGTTTTAAACTAGAAATATGTTGCTAAACGTTGAAACGTGTATTCTATAGGAAGAAATTTTTTAATCGACTTCATTATCGCGTCTGTTGTTTTTCTTTATTGCCCACACAACACGTTATACACGTTGTTATACACGTTGCACGGTCTTTCTAATAAAGCAAAGTTTTCTAATAAAGCGGAAGTTTCTAATAAAGCATCGAAATATGAAGAATACCTCGACGCAGACGCCGATGAGTTCTCAATGGGGCGATTACTGAGAAGTGACAAAAGGGGTAACCAGAAACCACGGCCCTCTTTACCAAGCCAGTCTCGCATCCTGCCTTCCGAGCATACAAGCATTAAAAATTCAATCACCATCGCTATGCTATCCGGTCGCATCATGCATAGATCATCTGAAAAAGACAATACAGAGTAATGTATTCCTCATGCAAAAATGGAAATGCTCTCATTTGCATTAAGTGTTTGTTGAATCATTTAAAATTTATATTAAACGAAAACAAGTCAACTATCCAGCTTCACATGCCTTCCATTTTTATTTTTAATATGATTTTAAGATAGTGTGGATCATTTTCTTGTGAATATTACAAACAAGAAATATATGTATTGAAATAAACCAGTTCCAATTTGAAAATAGAATCTTCCACTTTACCGTTATTCGAGGAGCTGATACTTTCAGCTGTATTATTCTCATTGCTATCACCCGACACCATTGTAGTTCGTTGATGCTGTTTGGATTTCTCCAAGTTGCAGAAATCTAAACATTGAAGCATTATTGTCGGTAAATGTCACATAGCTGGGCCCAAATTTACGTTATTTATTTTTTCATCTAATGTGTGAAGAACTTAACCTGTAATCAATGACGTCAGCAGCGCCGGGAAACCAGAGTCGATTAATTGCTGAATACCAGGCGGAGAGCGTGCCGCCGCGGCAACAGTTAGAAGTTGTCCCTCCGTTAAACGTAACCGTTTGTATTCCAACAACACAAATCGACAATACCACTCCTCCGCGTTGATCTCGCTCTTCTTATCATCTGTCTGGCCCTCGCTTTTTTTACGATCATCGGATATTGAGGCGGAATGATCCGTCGCGAGGTTCGGAACCAAGATTCGTACTCGTTGAAGAAGCAAAGGGAACAGCGACGGTCTCACGTAGCAGAAAGCGCACAGAACAGAGTCGATCGCTTGCTTCAAGGCCGAGTTCTTACCGAGAGTCAGTGTCCATTGATACAATGAACTGCACAATGAATTTCCCATATTAATTATGTGTCACGAGTTCTTTCGAAGAATAAAAAAATTCCAGAAGCAAGTACTGAGTAATTCTTACTTAAACAAATCGTCTGTCAGCAGCACATGCAAATCGTAATTGTGGTTCTGTTGTTGATGGGTCTTCCAGATGATCGAAGACACACAATGAATATACACAGCTGACGGATTGACGGAATTGGGATTGCTGTTAGTGTGAGATATCCCATTTGCAGCCGACGTCTGCAGCCAGCTGAGAACAGCTCTCATACGAGCCTCAGTACTGGAATCTCGGATAGAACAGAGTTGCTGAAGTAATTCAACGACTAACTGTACAATGGATGTCTTTCGGGAAGTTACGGCTCCTATAAAGTATCAAGATGCATTAACTATCGTCATACTTTCATGCTTTTGAGAGAGCAAATTACTATATGTAATTCAGAGACGGCCTTATTGTTCTCGACAGATTTTAGGAGATTGGAGATTTTTTCCTCGACATTTGTCTTACAGTCCGTCGGTCAGACCATCTCTGATGTTGTTTGCGGAAAATGGACAATGTTTCCCATGAAGCGATACCTTGGAAGAAGGGAGTGGACCTGTTGTTGAGCAAGAGACCAATAAGATGGAGTCCAAGCTCACGAGAATGTAAGCCGAGTTGTAAGAGAACCCTCTCCAAGTTGGCAGTAAAGAGAGACGGTGCTGGGAGTAACAGGAGGTTGCAGCATGCCTCGACCAGGCCTTCGACCGAAGCCGCGGAATTAAGCACCTCGGCGGCTAGATTACTGTTCAATGTGCTCACCGACAAACACTGATGCAATAATCGCAACCACCCTAAGCTGCACACAAACGTTATTAGAGATAATTTCTTCGAATTCTCGTAGCCTCAATAAATCGTTCATTATTTCGAGAAAAGAAATTCCATGTATCCTACAATAATTCTAACATCAATTAAAAAATCTTTTAAAGATCTTTGTTGTAATTTAACTTCCTTATGATAAATTCCTTACGATAAAAATATGACTTGTAACGAATTAATAATAAGATGACTCGAGACAATGATGAAACCATCGCGCTTGAAATTCGATATAATGAGATAATTCGAAGTAAAAACATTACCTGGTCTTCGTCAATTGTTCCTCATCTAGCATGTCAAAGCTCGTTTTATTTTCACCGAATGCAGTAGTTCCCATCAGCTTTATTTGACTGAGACTTACATTCGTCGAATCACGCGGCTTATACAGGCGCACCAACACAGAAGTCACGACTTCCGGCTGAGATAATGTAAGACGTATATATGTTAAGCCTGCTGTAGGCATCGGTGGGCAGACAGGCATTACTGGACTGTTGTTTTCTCTTGATATTTCAAGCGCCACGGCCGAGGGACACGCTGTCGAGCACAAATACGTGAAAATGATACGTCAATGTCGTGTCGCTCGTTGTAAGATATAGGCTGTGTTCAGCATAAAAACTTGCTTAGTAAGCACTTCACAACTATTATAAAATTTTTTGCTAAATGATACCAAGTGATTCACTCACTTTTCCAACACATCCATTAAACGGTCACCGTTTTCTCCAGCATACTTTCAATAAATAGTTGGATGTTTGGTAAACGGAAAAGCATAAAATGTTAAATGTCATTCGACAAAAAATCAGTATCGCAGCGCAAAACTTATTAAACTGCCTTTTCTGTTAAACACAGCCGTTATAATATTGTTATAATATCGAGAACTTACTGGATAATGCTGAATGATGCGGCTGCAACTCCACCTGTCTGAGTAAGATAGCGCATGGCAAAGTAATCGTGAGGTCGACCCACTTCTCGTCAGGATAATAATGATAAGACCACGCAGGCGTTCTCGCGCGTTTGTGAGGTGTAGCATTTTGTATAAGGACATCCGGCGGTTGCGCGGTAGCGCAGGAAATCGTGCCAAGTGGTGCGAAATTCAATAACCCGTCGGAATTTGATTCCAACGAGCTGATTGCTTTCCTGCTGTTGCTATTACTACTGCTGCTGCTGCTACTGCTGGCTGTAATCGGCATCACGTTGGGTGCATTTGACAAATGTTCCATAACGAGGGCGATCACGCCGCCTGAGGCGGATGCACTAGCGACGCCGTTGTTGCTGGACTTCACAAGATTCTGGCAGACTACTTTTACACCGCCCATCTCTGTGAAAATGGATAACGATGATACGTTGTCCAACACTCTTAGGATGTACCAAAGAAGAGGCTCCGATAACTGCATAACACCCAATTGGCGATCCAACTCAGTTTCTCCGCATGCTGCAAGAAAGTTCTTCGAAGTGACAAAGAAATATATACATAAAATAATTACAGTTGAAAATTTAGAGTGAAATATATTCGTTTAAATCTCCATTTCTATAAATCAATTTAAAAAAATCGAATTTATGTTCCTATTACTTTATATTTTGTAATATAAATCGCTTCATTGCTGATTGTATTACTAATAACAGTTTCAATTTGGATATAATTATATTTGTAACACATGAAGTCTTACACGAAGAAAGGTAGTGGTAAAAAGGTTTGAGAACCAAAGTCGGATTGCTAGCTTTCTTTGTCAAAATTGTTAGAAGAAGGAATATTGCATCCGGTATCGAAGCTGGATCACGAAGTTCAGTAGTCGATGCAGTACTCGCACTTCCTCCCAGGAGCATAGCTAACGAGGATCCAGTAATATGACCGAGAGTGCTCAGTAAGCGCATCATAGTTGGTTCGTGCTGTAGAACTAACGAATAAAGAAACTTGATAAATCTCGCACATAATGATGATAGCAATTATCTTTGCATATATACGTTAACAATTTACCCGTATCAGCGAGGCAAGGTACACAAGATTTACTAGTTATTGGCTGTTGCAGGCGAAACGAAGTTTGTTGTTCTGCAACTTTGCTCTCGTCCGTTTGCGAAATGTTTATTTGCACTTGCTGCTCGCTTGTGCTGGTTCTGAGATCGGAGGTTGCATCCGATAGTTCCTCCTCTGCTGGTTTCTCCGAGTGATTTTCACGAGCCTACAAAATATTCATGAGGATAAATTACACAAAGATAAATAATATTGTTCAATAAACTTACACGAAAGCACAATTATACATGCCACATGTTGTAGAAAGAAAATAAACTAACGCGAGAGCATATCTGTGGTACCATGTCAAAACTATGTATCCCAGAGAACTGAAAATTTTTAGTAAGTTATCCAATAATTCGAAAAATATTACAATTTGGTAGAATATGTAGTTTTATATATAGTCACAAAAAGGAGTAGTTTTATAATTTATGTGCGTAAATAAAATGATAGAAAATACATACACCTGGTAGTGGAGTTTGTATGAACACACACACTAATTTAACGAGAGCCACAACCAGAGTATCCCATGACGCGGGGCGACCTTGTCTTGTATCGCCACCGAGTACGCAAGCGAATAGACCACCAAAGCCACCAGAACCAACGGACTGATTGGGCAAAGCAAGTGCTCCTCCACATTCTGCGCCGACTGTAATAATTTTACAGGTAAGATTTTCGCGAATCTTTAAGGTGAGATCGAACTAAATCATTAATATCAACGGCTTGTTTTAAAAAATGTATGTGTGTGTGTGTGTTATTACGAATAAACTAATTTTAATAATAAACTTTTTCTATATTCTTGATTTTTAAAATAGAAGGCGGTTTTTTACATATAAAAAAATTATATCTATCATCTAATGTCATCTATAATCTCTTTATACCTCCGGATCCTCTGACATAAGTCGAGACCAATACGCCAACGCATTCAGATATACTCATGGCGATGCTCAAATCAGCATTAACGTAATTTAGATTAACTACAGACGTTAATAGCTTGCATTGGGCATCCAAAGGTCCTCTTCTTGTTATAAGAGCCCCGCCTGGTTGCACGAGTTGATACACTACCCACAATAGCAAATCCTTCAGGGCATTACCTAAGAAACTATCCGGTGTAATCACATCGCACATTACTTCCAGTCTGAGAAGAAAATCATGTAACGCTTGACAGACTGTAGGACCAGCCTAAAACAAAAACAAATATATAGTAAAGAATAGAAAAGGTAGATATAGAAAAATTTATGGGGAGAAATGTCAATTTAATAGCATATATAAATCAAATATATAAGTTATATCAATTAGATATTATAAAATAAGTGTTTTTAAAAATTTATGATAGAAAAGAGATTTAAACATATATTAATTACATGATTGAGACATACATGATAATTATATATATTGAGAGTGATTAAATGTTACACTCACCATAATATATTGCTCATCCATAGTATTGACATTTAATCCATTGCCGGAAAGCAGACGCAGCAACATAGGGCCAGTATTACGTTCTTTAACAATGTTGCTAGCCACACAGAACCCACTAGTCGCGAAACCGTCTAAACCGTGATATCTTTGCAACGATTGATTGCAGACGATAGTTAAACATTGCAGACCAAGACACCAAGCACGTAAAGAAATTCCGGAATGCCTAAAATTCAACACAACTTATATAGTATACACATAAAATATCAGTTACAGTTAGAGTACGTTACATACCCGTCGATATAAATTTAAATTTTATATATGACTTACCAAGAGAGTGCAGATATGAGGTTACTAATCGCTGCTAAACTTAATGGAATTACAGGTATCAGAGAAGAATCAAGCTGAGAAGAGTGTGAGTGCTCGTTAGGAGCGTCCATGTTCAGTGTTAACCAAAGTTGTAAGACCAGTTCCAGGTTCGTACTATTATTCTGTTATACACAGACAGGAAAATAACGAATAAATAATTATATAAATATATGAAATATCAATCCTGCTCCTCAAAATAACATTTACTAATCAAAATCTTATTTTTAAAACATTCAGATTAGGAGGTTCATATAAGTTAAAACTTTAGAAACTTTTTTGCACCAAACCGACAGCGTTAACGTTTCGCTATTAATATTTTACTTAAAGAAAAGAATCAGTCACCTGCAAGTATAAATCCGTAAATATTTTATCAAAACATTTCGTTAGCATTGACAGACTCGAAGGAGTAGGATCAGAAGAATTCCATGTCTCCTGACCCCTATCCGCGTTCCAATCCGTGTCAGTTTTCGGCATGGACGATTGTTGACCAGAACGACTTGCTTCCGTAGGCATCTGTGATGTAAAAAAATTCACTTTTATACTGTTATGTACTTTGTTTATTCTAAAAGCATAAACTGCTCGAAATGATTACAAGATCGTCAAAAAATGAACACTCAAAATAATCTTCTAATTATTTCGACAGCACAGATAAAAAACAATATACAAACTAACGTGTATTGGCGCATTTATACTGTGAGGTAGATTGTACATGCCAACTGTGGACAGTATCCTCAGTGATATCTCTACGCCCATCTCGACTCCATATTCCAATCGCGCATCCATCGCCAACGAGATACTGCTAACAATATACATCGTTTATTACTCCTTTCAGTCAGCCGTTCATATTTGTTATAGGAAGCCAAACTTCCATAAGAGAACGATCTCATACTGAGACAAGCACCGCCCGAGAAAGATCTGAAATAAATACCCAGTAATAGCCGAAGTCAGGATCTTTGATACTGTGCTACCCTTCTTTATCATATTTTTCCCTCGTTCTAATATATCGTCCAGGAATTCTTCCAATTCACTGTCGTCAGATTCCAAAAGAGATGGCAGGAATCCATTGGATTTTGATGTGGAGGCAGCCGTTGATGTCACTACGATACTATCCTGCGCGTCTTCTTCAGCGTCTACCTCCGCGAATCCTTCATTATTACTTAACGTGGCAGCGGAAGAAGCGCTGGTACCTGCAACATTGCTTGAATCCTCTTCCGTCGTGTTATTTTCGTCCGTGCCCATTTCGAAATTCTCCTCCGTTGGACTACCTTCGTGCATGGGACATGCTCTAGGAAACAATCGTCCTCCTGTGAACAAAGTTTCATCCACGTGTTTTACATGCTGTATAGGGATAAAAAAAAGTCTTAGCTGTATGCTTTGCAAGGATACATAAATACCTTCCAGTAGATCCAGTAAAAGACACGAAACAGCATGCGACGACCACGTTGCATCGGATGTACCCGTCGCCAATCTGACTAATTTTAAGAGTTGTTCTTCGGTCATAAGCTCGCATAAGCTAATCGCAGGACGTGTTGATACCACTAGTCTAGCCACTACCTAGGTGTGACAATTTATAGATGTAATGTGTGGTACGCGTTTATAATAATTATAAAGTTATTAGCTTTTTGACTTCCGGATATTATTACTTTATCTTTCTTATATAAATTAAATATTCGATTAACGATACTAAATTTTCCTCTTCTATATCTCTCCTGTCCCCTTATAACTTTCTACTTATTTGTATTTACTGGAAGCTCCAATGTGATGTTGTTTCTTAATACAAAGAACTGAAATATTTTTTCACGAAACATGGGAAATAGATCCACAAAAATTGCAGTTTCAACCCGGAAACCAAATTTAAAATTTCTCCACACTGTGAAAGCCTCCAATATCAAGCTATTTGATAATCGTAGAAAAATTAAACTCGTTTATCAGCTATCAATAACGAAGTTAAATCGATCGAAATCATACTGATGTTAGAATATCCATGCAATCGATTCATGGAAATAACAGCGGACGTCGGATTAGAGATGAGAAACTATATTGTAAATGTAATCGATAATTCCTGTTCAAATCTTGCAGAAACCTTACCTTGCATGCCAACAAAAACATATCCACATTAGTGGAATTATGTAGAATCAATGCGACGAGACCACGTGCCACTGGTAAGACATATTGATGAGATAAATTAGTCACATATTCGACTTCCAAATCCACAACGTCTGCCTTACTGAAATTTACGTAACAAAGAATACAAATTGTTTCGTGATTATCGTATTATCGATTATAAAAGAGGTAATTAAAAAAGAAATGTTAAGGATTATTTGTACCTACCTACTGCTAGATGCAGCTGCAGCGCGTGGACTACGTGAAAGATGTTGCATCTCGTTCCTTCGGATACTGAGGATGTCCTTGTAATGCTTGGCGGAATGCTGTTTCAACGTCTTTTTGAAGTAACGTTCTTGAGATTTTATGGTTGCCTCCACTTTACTATACAACGTAGCTGCCTGAGAAGAGAGAGTGGCCCACCCCTAAATACATCGCGCGCTATTGTATTCTCTTGCATATAATACCAAAATAATTCACCATATTTGTATCTAACAGTTTCTATATGCCAATATTTAAAAATGAAAAAAAATGAAAAATGTAGTTGCAATACTGCAACGTAAACCTCAGCTAATACCTGGGGCGTCGTTTGGAAAGATTTCTTGGCTTGCTCCAATTCATGAAGCTGCTGTTTATGATGCAACAGACGCTTTTGCAGTCTTTTTCGATAGCTACGTGAGGCTGATGACCGGCTGGCATTGACATATTTCCTCTGCATAGCTGATTCTCCTTGTATGAATTCCCAACGAGACAACAAACCTTCCAAAACAAATAATAAATATGTATATTTAATATTATCAACACGACCAATAATTATTAATTGTATTGTGCATATGTATGTAATATACCTTGCTCTTTATTCTTTTCCTGATTTTCCTCCATACAGGAAAGTTGAATAGTGGTAGTGTCTAAGCATACCGACAGAAACAATAACACCCAACCTATCAGAATCACGTCCAATCGATGGGAATTGGTGGGTTGTCCGTTCATCAGAGGAGATAGCAATTTTCCCAATGTACGAACCATGGCATCGATAACTGAGGACTTGTTTGCTCCAGCCATCAACGATTTTCGCCCAAGGAATGTTAATAAAATAAACACCCTGAAAGCAAAATTCACAAGTTCCGATAAATCTATATTGGGAATGGTCTCGCGTCTAGTAATATTATATGCGGATTTCTATTATCTGCTATAAGTAAAATTTACGTTCAATAATAAAGTACTGCCAAATGATAATAATATTCTACATTATAGTGCCAAGCATAAAGAAACATCTTACCTATCCTGTGGGAAAATATGAGTAGATGACGAAGAGTAAAGATTTATCAAAGTGTTAGATAAAAAGTTGCCCCACCACGGCTGGTGACCTGCCATACCGGCTAAGAGTGCAGCAGCGTGGAGCTGCAATCGTGGTGCTGGCGTCACAACGCATATTGAATGAAAAAATTTCTCACAAATCGTCGGGGTAAACACCTCGTATAGCGACATCGGTACCTACATTAGAAATAACAAATGATAATGCTTTGAAAGAGATAAAATTATTTTAAATATTTCATTGAATATAAATATATAGCAATGCAATTTAAAACTTAAAACTCCGGTATTGTAAGATTAACGAAAACTGTTCTCCTAGTATACTACCCAGACAGCACCGGACATCCAATGGATGTACGTTTCATATCCAATGTATGTCCGTATGTCCGATTTACGTCCGTGGACATAAATTGGACGTAACAAGGATGTCCTTATTGAACATCGGACCTATAGGACGTCCGATGTACGTCCATGGGACGTCTTATGTCCGAAGTTGTGACAAATATACGTCCTATGGACGTCTTTTGTAAAAAAAAATGGACATATAACGAACGTCCAATGGACATCGGTGTGCTGTCTGAGTATATATTTGTGAATATACTTACACTAGCCACTGGGCCGATTTCATATACAGTATACAGCAGGATGTCAAGCAAAGTCTCTCCGAGAACTCGTAACTTATCACTGGGCGCATTCACGAAAGACGTAGTCGGCACGTTCCGCACACCTCTCCACGATTCGAGACGTCGCCAGACACCTCGCACAATATTTAATTGATGTTGGAACATAGTACATTCCTATGGAATGTAAATATATATCAAATAATGTGCATTGACTTTTATTCATTCGATTGAGTCCGCCAAGCCATTCAATATGTTATATTAATGCATTTGACCTACCTGATATGTTTGTAATATTTTCGGTGATGGCCGTTCGTTACTTTCATGAAATATTTTATTGCAGCAAAGGTAATGTTGCATATGCATGACATTAGGAGTTTCTGAACACAGCAATGGATCTAATAAAGCTTTTAATCTTTCATTGGCTAAACTGAATCTGAAAACAGAAACTTTTTTTTAAAAATGGGAAAATGACACACGAACATCTTATATTAATACGAAATATTATTGTATCGTGCGAGTACATAGAAGCGTTATATCGATATAAGAAATAGCAGTACAATACCTGCATTGAACGTCCTCTGCTAAAGCCGACAGTATGTTACATTGTGTATCAATAGTAGCTTGTAAAGAGGGATCGAAAATGTTGTCATCAAACGACGAAGAATCGCTCAGCTCCGAGTAATTCTCTCCAGGCAAAACCACCATGTGTCCATAAAACATCCCCAACGGTATTTTACATGTAGTTGTGGACATTCCATAGCGTCCTATTGTAGTGATCTAATAGCAATAAAAATCAAAATTTATACATTGTAAGATCAACAAACAAACGATATCATGACAATCGAAACCATTTTCAACAGTGGTAACAAAGTGTGACGACACGCTGAAAGAAATTTATTGTTTTCAGGATATTTTGTATCTTATACCTTGAGATATCTGCAAACTGGTGGCGGCTGAAGATCACAGACAATCAGAGGCTTGCTCCCTATATCGCCAGCAACAATAAGTCGTGTACCGTCTGTTTCTTCGCTCTTAGTCCATATATCTATCGAGAGCGACACTAAATCACTACACGAAGGAATCATCAGATCCGTCAACAATACAGGCGATCCGAAGTCTAGAATGACAAATCGTCGCGCTCCTGAATGCATCCTCTCCACTACCAATGCTTGCTGAGGTGGCCAACACAGCAATCTTCCCCATGGAAACGTGATGTCTTCTCGCTGTAATGTTAATAATTCATTGAATATTATCGGTGAAATAATTGATTCGAAGTTAACACTCTCCAAACACCTTTCAAAGAGAGAAACGCGAGAGAGTGAGATACTATGTTTGCTACGGATATTTTGTTTACTGCGGGGAAGACATCCGCGTTTTAAATACTGAAATATATAAAAGATGCGTTATAAAGAATATTCGTTGTCTCGCGACTTAATCTCACTGACAGACTGATGATCTGTTAAATTTGAAGTTGATCTTTCTGTAGTAAAAATGTCACTACATCAATAATCCTCGTATTATAAACGATTTTTTATCAAGAAAACTTCTCTGATAAAATTGTAATATAAGTCTTAATTACAGTGATGTATAATGTGAGAAATTAAGAAATTTTGGGACAAATGACAATCTCAATGATGATCTCAATACTTATATTAAAACTCAATCTTATACTAAGACAATCCTCAACGATACTTATACTAAGACTGATTTCAATCTGATTTATAGAATCTGTCATTGAAATTAAAGATGCAAGTAAAAATTACTATATACGCAATGTATAACATTATGACTGAATGTCGAAAAACTTGAGGCAGAATCGAATCACACAATTTTGTCATTTTCTAGATATACATATCTCTACGGACCCGTTGCTTTACATTTACAGGAAAGCACTTCGAGTCTTGAATGTTTCTCAGCATGATTTTCTCATGATATACAAATATACAATAAATAAATAAAAATAAATAAAAATAACAGAATGCACTTAAAATGAAGTAAACATACTTGATGTATACCAATAATGAGTTCGTTATAAGTTGATAATAAAAAAAATATTAAACTAGCCCTAATTTTTTGCATCAAATAATAAAGCCAGTGTACAAAAGGAGAACTGAAACTATGTTTACTACTTGCACATATAAAAATGCAAATAACTGTTTACACGGTAGTGTTAATATAAAACTAGTTTGTGGTAGCACTTGTGGTTGTAAATGAACAACAACAAAAGAAATGGGAGGACCTCCAAGAGAAACCTATGATTGTATAGAAACTGGTATTATATGCAAGGACGATATTGTAACATGAAGTACGAAATTCATCATAGGTATTGTAACTCATGCAATTTGCGCTCAACATCACTCAACTGCGTCTGACAGATGAGAAGAGAGTTCTATAACGAAAGTGTGCCTCAATTACAACCTACATATGCGTACATATGCGAGTGTATTTCAATTACAGCATATTAACAAAGCGAGAATAAACAACAAAGAGAAAAGATAGAAAGAGAGAGAAAGAAACAATTGTATTGCTGAACTCAGAAACGAAGAATAAAAGAAAGAATGGTGCGTGTCTTCGTTCTAATATAATCTACCTTTTTAGGATTGCCCTCCTCAACTTTGTTTATAGCAGTATCAATATTTTGTACTGATGATTTTTCTTTTGTTACAATGGAACTTAATATATGTGAACTAGGCATATTGTTTTGTGTGCTATGCCAAGTCTGGTTATCGCCAGACGTGTCGTTAGCTTCGTCATAGTCTGATTGTTCATCAGGTGTGAGCAATAGTTGTGAAGATGGCTTCTTTAGCGCTCTTCCTGTATACATACTAAGCAGATCGCTTAATGTAGCTGACGATTTAGCCTGAACATCTGGTCCTAGCGATCCAGCATCCAAGTTCTACAATGTGTGTACAATTAATATTTCTATCTCAATTAAGAAATTGAGTCTACTCTGGAAAAAAAAAAAAAAAAAAAAAAAAAAAACACCTATACCGTATATATGCGGACATGTCTAAGACTCAGAAAAAGAGAGAGTGATTCGTCTGCCTACTCTACGAATGCTAAGGCTTTACTTAGCACGCTATCCCGTAGACTGTAAGAATCGTATTAAAATCCGTCATACTATGGAACTAGCGCAACGTACACTTACAAATATAACGTTATGATCGTCTGGACATTATTACACGCCAATGTTCTTCAACCGTATTGTTTTGCATCGCTTTTTTTATTATCGTCATAAGACGATGCGCATTGTCGCACCAGGATCGGAATGTTCATCGCAATTCTGTACTGGATCTATAACGCGTAGAATACTCACGTAAGTATAATGTACCATTTTGACATCGGATGCACCGCCGTTGTTTGTTGTTGTATTATCATAGAGAGTAGGTCCAATGTTAATTGTACTCATACCAGGACCAATATTTTCCATCTTCGTACCGTCGGAGGCGGCATGGCAGGTAAAATGGAGGGGTTCGACCTAAATCACATTCGACGTTGGCAATGTCACAAACGGGGCAAACGAAGGAAATGCCAGTAAATATGTGGGATCTTATCCTCATCAATTCTCCTCTTAAACTTTACACCGTGATTTAAAGAAATACTTTTTTTTTAAAGAAATTCAACTTCCGTGATTCAAAATAGGAAATCGATGAGGCACCCATATTTACTCCATAATTTCTCCATTCACACGATCAAGTAATGTTACCTCAAGGAGACCTTTCATATTGTGGTTAGTGCATAATGCCTTCAATTTACTAGGTACTACAAATTCACTAGCAGGATGCGTAGGCAGTGTGAGCAGGTCTCTCAAATCGATGGAATGCGCACAATGAGCGAATTTGGGCAAATGCGCGGAACTCGACGAAGTCATAGACGGGCCTGTTTGCTCGTCCGTTACAACCGACGCGTATGTAACTGGTGTTGAACTAAACTTCGGTAGTATTGGTGGTTCTAAGTCAAACAATTCCGTCTCAAAAGGTGTGTTGTATAAACCAAATCTATAAAAGAAAAGCATTAAAATTATATAACACAAAATCACACATAGTAGCAAGAGAAGAATCCGTTAAAGAGAAGCTTAAAAAAGAACAAGATATTTATTACATTTTTTTAACATGGCTCTTCTGTTCCTATTATAATTTCACGTATTAAAGAGCCTTTGTCATTTATTTTATGAATTATATAGACATTAAAATGGGAGAGATGTGTACACACTTAAAATATATATTGCTTTACCTTGTCGCAAGCAGCAAATGGTAAGGATTTACTCTATTGGATAACTCAGTAGCTATCTGCTGTACCAAAGAGACACATTTCTGGGCGATGCTGTGATTTCTGTCCAACGGTAAAAATCTAGTTATGAGTAACTGCAACCATCTCAATGAACCAGCCCATTGCACATCCATGATTGATGGCAATAAGTTTACCAGAACGGAAAGCATAGCCTCGTCGAAGGTTTGAACTGGCGGATCGTCTATATTATAAAATCCTCTGAGAGAAATCATAGAAAAATTCGTTTTTACAAAATTCCATCAGTGTAACTACCGTAATAATTCGTATGATCCGCCATAGACTCACCCACTGCAAAGAACAATTAATTTGACGCATTTATGCGCTATACTTCTGCCAGCATGCAAGAGACACGTTCGCAATAAGCTGGACAGTCGTCCTTGCACAGAGCGTATCGTCTCCAGCTGAAGAGCTTTCATCTCAGAGCTGTTCTGTGCGCTACGTAATCTCGTTAATCTTATTGAGGCTGTCCATACCAGAATATCGAGAGCGATAGATTGTACGACAGGAGAACTGCAAATACAATTATCCGTGTATGAACTTGTTGATGTCCTGCAGATATAAATCAGCTCTTGCCACTTCCGTCACTTACTCGAGAGATCCTTGCAAGCAGGCAACGTTCAGAAGATTATCAAAGAAAGTTTTGGATTCCAACATCGCACATCTCTGTAGCCTCTCGTTTGGTATATCAGTAGGACGTACCGACCTTATCGTAATCGAAATTTCGTGAATCCAGTTACAACCTTAAATAAAAATAAGCATATGTAGTTTCCTAACATAAAAATTCAACGTATAACACATTACTGTATGTACATATAAAATATACAAAAGGAATTTTTTCTTTTTATGAATCATACCTATATATTTCATATGCTCACTGTATTTTATATATTTATACTGTATGTTTAATATATTAATTATTATAAGGAATTTTAATATATACATAATGCAATATATATGCATAAAAGTATTTACTTTCGTACATTTATTCAGACTAATAAATTTCAAATTATATTTACCAACGTAACATCCTAATTTTTTGCTATTACCACCCTCGTCGAGTCGTTCCCCAGTGCTATTGGATACAAGGGGACGTACCTCAAATATCCTTAACTTTTTGCAAGTAGGTGGTTTAGTCTCAAATAGATTCACTTTCGTTTTCGCAGATGCCTTCGAAATGAAAAAAATTAAAGTAAATTTCCTCGCTCGATATTATAACTCGAACATAAAAATATAAATCATAGCCAAATTAAAAAAAATTACTTACACTATCTTTCGTCTGATCTACTAATGCTTTAATATGAACGAGCAACGTTCGAACTTTCGAACGGAACAACTTTGGGCTTGTTAACGTCACGCATCCCGAACGACAGGACAGATCCATGCAACGATGCAAGTCGATAGGACCGCACAAGATCTCGGTGTTGTGCTGGCGCTGATATTCCTCTATGATGACTGGATTTTCGTTCCTTTGGTCGCTTCCTATATTAAAGTCTATTCTTTCGTCTACTGGAGTGGACGATGCTTTCTGGTGGCCGATTCTTTTTATATTTTGCTTCAACAGTGTTACTTGAATAGTCGGCAATTCTTGACAAAACGAATGCAAGGTAAATCGAACATCAACGTGCCCTATACTTCCAGACGCACTTCGAGGTAACGTAAGTTCAAATACATGTTCGTCCCATGTGGTCCTATTATCAGATGCAAAGAATTTTGTTATTTCATTGTATACAGAAATTGTACACCTTATGTGCAAAATATATATTCTACTCGGAAGCTGACTCGGTCGACTTACGCGTCATTTTGCAGCCGCCAAGTTCTTGTATGATGTTGATCTTCCGATTGATGAAGGTGCTGCGGATGACGTCTTTGTCTCTGGGCTTGCATCATTTCGCTCCAACACGGAGGAACTGTCGCGCTATACGCAGGCGAATGTCGATCGAATCTTGTAAGTTCATATAAGAGCCGTAAGTCCGTGTAAGAGAAATTCGTCTTGTGTGCCAATAATTGATCGCTGCAATATTTAGAATATATATACGTTAAATATATGTTAAATATACGTAAAATAAATACTTAAAAACGAATAAACGAATGCTAAGTATTACTTAAAAGTGAAATTTGCTTAAAAAAAAAATAAATAATCAAAATAATTCTCGAAACGCTCGCTTATTACTCGCTTATATTAAATTGAACGCGAAATGTTCAAAATTATTGATAATTTACTGGCAAGTCGATGTGGACGTGTTAGGAGCCGTATTTTCGTTAGGGCAACTCTCTTTGTCAGCCATGATCACATCTTCAACGTCCTCCTTCTCCTCCGTGGAGTCTTCCTCCTCTGCTGTAACGAAGAAATGCAGCGTGCCGTCGCTCGTGCATACACATAGCCTTTCCAAGCCTAAAAAAGCAACCCAATGATTTTAACACGAACTCTCCGACGTATTTCCACAAATATTTCGGATGAGGCGTCCTGCGCACAGGAGCCATCTACTCTCACATTTACTTTTCTCTGTCAAGGGGAAACTTACTGTTGCAATAAGTCGCAGAGATAAATTTCTTTCCCTCTAACCTAGCCTCGGTTACGGTTTTCAACGTGCTTAGATTTAACAATCTGACTACGCCGTCCTTACACACCAGAGCGACTTGTCCGACAACCTGTTCCTGAGCAGCCGAATTGCTAGTCGGATTAACGCTTGAAGGATTGAGAGAAGACGTCGTGGACTTTTGCTTCTCCTGCAATGGCAGAAGCTCGTGTTCAATCGGCGCCTGTTCCAGAGGAAGTTCCCGCTTCACCAACGGTTCTGACGTCACTTTCACCACCTGCCCCGAGAAGTCCAAGGCATATACGAGCAACAGAACATTCGTATTGTTCTCGTTACTGTGTGTCTCGTCATTTATCAGTTTGCCAGATTGAGTGTCGCTATGGTCCCAATACATATAACTCTTCTGTGGGAAGAAATCGCTCTCGTCGTCGATGTCCATCTGATTAGTGTTCAACGAGGAAAGCTCGGCAGAAGTGTTATCCGTTGAGGGACACATCGCGACATACAAGTGTGTTCCATCTTTAGTCGGAGATACATAAGTGATACGAAGGGAATCCGGAGCGTTTATAGCTAGAGTCTTGATAACCACCGGCTCAGCCTTAGTGATCTTCATAAGGTCTAAGCTCTTCTTATTTATCGTTGTCAAATTGGATGTTGATGCGAAGTGAGCTGAGCTGTTGATAGGGTTAAAATTGGAATCATATGGGGTCGACGTGGTCGGTGCGGTGATGCCAATGGGAGTAGAGTAAATGCCATTGGAGGACGAGGCGGTCAGATCGATGGTTGGAAAGATACCGTCGTAATGCGAGCCGACGACCATTTCTGAGTCCACATCTTCAATAACTGGCACTTCGTATAAAAATTTACCGAGAAAGAGCTCTTGATACAAGCTCTCTTGGCGACCTCCATTCGAACTAGCGCTAGTTCCCGTACCGGACAGAGTCTTCTTAGTCTTAGACTCTTTGGAGTTGTCCTCCTTAATGGGTTGTGCCGTCGCGGTTTTATGATGAAAATCGTACAATACTAAGTAATGCAATCTTGATGGTACGCATCTATCACCCGCTACCTTCATTATATCTAAAGTATCACTAGCAGCACTATTTACACTGTTCATCGCGCGAACCAGCGAAGATGAGCTCGCCAGATCGGTCGATGCGGCCCATACATTCTCTAAGGTCCTTAATTGCGAAGGATTATTAACTGTCACTGTAACTCCGCACACTAAACACGGTCGTATTTTATAGTCCGACGTCTCGACATTTATGGACGACGTTGTGGAACTAGTGGTGCTTTTCGCGTCCTCCTTCGGCGATATCGGAGGTCCTACCACCGAGAGAGCCGTAACCTGTATTTTATAAAAGGACGAAGATTTATATTCCGAGAGCGGTGCGGTGTCCGAGCTTAGATTCGTTAAATATGAAGTCGTTATATTCCTTGTAGCGCAAAACTGTATAGATTCCTTATTGTTCACCTCTTGATCCGAGAGAGATATATAAAATGATACTTCTCTCTAGCAAAAGAAAAAAGAAATTTGTGTTAAGCAAGATAGGATCTTGGAGAAGATTCTCAGTTATCGCATATTCGACATATTCTAGTAAAATTCTCAAGCGTTTACCTTCAGCTGATTTGTTATATTCCAGATATATATAAAACCGTCAGAAGAGGCTGTAGCCGCAAGGCCCGTGACATTTGTAGTACCTATGATATCCACTGTATCACCCACTTCGCGAGCGGGAGCAGTCGCTAAGGTAACAGACAGTGGAACGTTCTGTGTATATTCGCCTTTAACGAACGGACACGCAGGTGAATGCCTCTCGTGCTCCGACCACGGTTCGTCCGTAGGCTCCCAACATACAAGACAGACGTTACAAGTGAAACACATTGCTCTATCGTCACCAGTAGCATTTGGCTCATGATAGAAACCAGCCTGCGCCATTTGATCAGGTAAAGCCCATCTGGAATATATTTTATTATATTTTAATTCACTGAACTTTTGTTACCGTCATATACACGATGCTCATTGATTCTTGATTACTTAATATACTTTTTATGTAGTTTCTTAACAACAGTTACTTTCTATGTTCAATTAAATATAATTTTCAACACTTAAAATAGTATCTTACATATTACATACTTGTAATTCATGTGTGGCCATTTTGGAAAAGTATCACGACGTGCTGCTTCGCTAAACATCAGCGCTCTATCAGCGGGACCACCTTCTAACGCAAGGCCAGGCAATAGGCCATTCAGTCGTTCATTGATTGCAGAAGCAATGGGCAATGCTGGTATATGTCGATTTTGCCTTTTTAATTCCATCACTAAGCCAGAGCACACGAGCTTCAAAGACCCATGTGGCAGTTCCAAGCATATTGTATTCCACTGATAAAAATTACTATTATTATTTGTGATATTTTAATATTAAAATAGCTAATACAATATGTTTACTTCCTTTCCTCCTTTCTACAATATTAATAAGGTAATACATATGTTCATATAAAATAAATTTGTGGCTAATGTTAAATAATTAATGTGACATTTGCATAATATAATTATAGTGAGCTTAGAATTAAACATTTCCCAATAAATATATTAGTATATAAAATTTACATATGAAAGACAACTTGAATGTTTAAATATTCAATTCTTAGATGCATATGAGATAAGTTGAATAAGAAATAATTGTTTTTCTATACAACTTTTGTAACAATTGTTTGTTATAATCTAGTAAAAAGATTAGGCCTAAATTGTAGTTCATACCAAACATTGTGTAAAACAATGATAGATTTAAAATAATAAGATTAGTGTTGTGGATTATGTATACTTACTTTTTGAGCTTTAATACCTTTCTTCTGATTCGTTTGCGCTGCAACTATTTTACTTGAAAGTTCTTGCAATACCTCCAATAAATGCTCTACTCCTGGCAATTCTACACATTGAAGACATTGAAGTAGCAACGCAGCTTCCGACAGTAGCAATTCCAATTTCACAACATCTTCACTCTTAGAAACTGGAGTTTGCAAAATAGTATCTAACAAAAGGACCCCGTTGTAATCACTGCGTATACCAATCCCCCGACCATCTGTATATAGCACTTTGTCTATTCCATTGGATAGATACACTCCTTGCAGTTTCCCATTTGGTTTACCTATAACAATCACCATTACAATATGGTTATTGCTATTATATAATTTTTTGAAACTACACAATAATATAATTTACCTGAATATCCTTAATAATACTAAAAGAGACTTGCAAATATATATTTATTTATTTAATTAAAATTAAATTAGATGATTAATGTTGAAATTTTCTATACATATATAATTTTTAAAAATTTATACAGAGAGTATACACGTAAAATTTTTAACTTTGACAAACATAAACAATTCTCATATCTGGTTTTGAAAGAAAGTCCAAAAAAATATTTTTATTATTACAATTATAGGAATCAAAAAATATCATCAGTAAAAAATATTACCTTGCAAAAGATCAGTAAGAACATAAATCAATAAGAATATGAAACAAATTATTTTGATAAGAATAATAGGATTACTGCTGAAATGTTTATGTTATTAATATAATCAGTACTAGGTAACAATCTGCTGTCTTTCTTTCTTATAATTGTATTATATTATATTTTCTGCTCTATTATATAAATCCAAAACCTAAAAAAAGTTGCACAAAAGACACAATCAATGGAAACAGATATTAATGCTAAATTTAAATCAATAAAATAGATTGCAAACAATAAGCCAATGAATTTATTTCTTTGAATCAAACTTTTTGTCCTTTCTTGCAATATCTCTGCTTCCTTATTTTCTCTCTCTCTCTCTCTCTCTTTCTCTCCCTCTCTTTCTCTCCGTCTCTTTTTCTCTGGATGTATACCTCTTCCATCTTTAGTGCAAAAAGGGTAATGTAACATAGTAAGAAAGGAGCGATCTGAGAGTTTTCTAACGAATTATTTAACGTGAAGTTAATATTTTCGTGCAAGAGACAGATTGCCGCGAGATGATTTAAACGCGTCTAATGTTAAACGCCGAAACGTACGGCGACCTTGACCATGAAGCAGTATTGCATAGTATTCTGTAAACGTTGGATTCCTCACGACAGTTGGAAGAGACGCGTTATTTTCTCCCGGAGTCATCACTCGTTGACGAAAATCGATCTACAATGAGCTACATGCTCACCGGACAGAGTACTTCTTTGCAGGATTACGCCGGAATTGACATCGAATACGTATACTTGTGCGCTGCTAGTGGTGATGAGTAGAACATTTAAATTGGCGTGATAGATAATACTCTTGCACTCAGTGTCCACGTTCAAGCAACCGTCTTCCTTCAGTAACCACGGGTCATCATCAGCCATTTTGCTTATGCGAATCAGGATACCCAAAAATCTCTCTAACGCTCGAACATCACGAAAAACATGGCGCACTCGTCATCGCCATCTTTGAGTAGAACGTCAGCACATCGCTCTGAATATAGCCGACAGTCATCCTCCCACTCGAAGCCGATAACGGAGGATTCACATTGCATCCAATTTCGATAAATTCTGATATCCAATAGGAGAACTGATTTCCTAGAAATAAGAATATCGTTAGCTAGGGTTACTAGGAAGTAAATTTTTTCTATTGGATAGTCGAAACAGAACAATATGAATTTCGTATAATACTGATATACATACTGATACTCGAAACAATTTGAGAGAAATAGTTTCAAGCGGTAGCATGGAATGGACTCTACATGCTACTCGATAAATGATTTATTTTCTTTTGTAAAAACTCAGTGAACATTTTTTTCTTGCTTTTAGCAAATTTCTTTATACTGATGTAACAATTTGTGATTTGTGATATCAAATTTCATAGAAATATATTTTTACCTTACTAATTTAATTTATTGATTTAAAAATGGTGGTGTAAGGTGTAGACTTGTAACTGCACTGTATGTAGAGCCGATAATTGGCTATGAGCGTTGGAGTCATGATACTGCGCATGTGTCAATCTTCGTGAGAGAACGAGCTTGTCGAAAAGAGGAGAATTAAAAAGAGACACACTCTGTCAAGCGTCGAAAGGGTTAAGTCGAATATAGTCTTGTTGAGAAAAGCTAATAAAGCGAGTCGAATTAACGAGTCTATTGAGATCATGACTATGTATAAGTTTAACCGTGTTCGTGTTTAAATACATTTTATTGGTGAGAAGCTGAGCTATACAATACATTTCCTTTCTGGTCCTGAATTCTGTAACTCGTAATTGGAGTTAACGACACTTTCATTATCGTTGCGCAGCTTTTCTACGGTATATAAAAACTACGCAACAATAAAGCCAGCGGCACACGGTGCTTGTTTTCGTGCTGGATTGCTTGCTGGATGAAAATATTGCGTTGTGATTGGTACATTTCCGAAGATGGATGGAAATGCACCAATCAGAACGCAGTATTTTCATCCAGCAAGCAATCCAGCACGAAAAGAAGCACCGTGTGCCGCTGGCTTTACAGAATCCAGCTGCTGGGTACCTATTATGGAACTCGTCGGAATCGATTCCGATCGGAATAATTCCGTTTCCCCTAGAAAAGACAATAGAAATCTAGGAAATAACGGAATAAATTCGATCGGAATCGATTCCGACGAGTTCCATTATAGGTACCCTGCGGCGCGATTCTTTAACTCATTATTGGAGTTAACAACACTTTCGTTATCGTTGTGCAGCTTTTGTATACCGTAGAAAAGCTGCGCAACGATAACGAAACTGTCGTTAACTCCAATAACGAGTTAAAGAATTACACCACTGTACCGCGATTCTGTAAAGCCCGTATCAGACTACGGATTGGGATTGAGTATTGGATTGAAATTTAACCAATCAGGAGTAAGTTTACTATACTTGAGATTATTTTCTCTTTTTCAATTGGTCAAATTTCAATCTAATTTCAATCCCAATCCATAGTCTGATACGGGCTTAACTCGTTATTGGAGTTAACGACACTTTCGTTATCGTTGCGCAGCTTTTGTATACCGTAGAAAAGCTGCGCAACGATAACGAAAGTGTCGTTAACTCCAATAACGAGTTACAGAATCGCGGTACTGGTCTCCTTTCGTCGTACGATACGTCCTGCTACGTCTTATCTATACGAGAATCCTGATATCGATCCTTGAGCATCGAGAAACTTCTAGGCTGCGTTCTAAAACTTTACTCGTCAACTCTCTTTACGAGTCAACTCTATGGCTTCGTAGTGGTGGGAGAACAGAGTAGAAGGGAGTAACGTGGGTTAACTCGGCGTTTTTGAACGGGAAGTGTTCTCTAAATGCGGCACAGATATATATATATATTTATATTTATATACATGAATGTGAATAATACGAAGTTATTTATTCTTATTAATGAAATATTTAGAAAAATGTTATTTACATATATGGACAACAATGAGAGCGAAAGTGAAACAGAAGAAGAAATATATATGCTAACGGAAAAATTACATATAAGAAAAAAAGGAAAGAAGAATGTACGTATTGAAGGTTATGTGGAAGTCGTTGTTCCAAGATTTTCAACAGGACAATTCAAACAACATTTTCATATGACCCCAGATACTTTTCATGTATTGGAAAATATATTAAGTCTAAGACTATCTAAAATAAATATTATAGGCAGATCCTATATAAAACCAAGAGTGCAATTACTTGCAACATTATGGCTGTTGGCAACTCCTGATTCATACAGGTAAATATTTTTTATATAAAATATATCTATATAAGTTATCTATATAATTAATACATATATAGTTATTTGTTTTTTAGCATGCACATGAATAAGAATATTCATAATAAAGAACATTTATGTTGTTACAGACCTGTTGGGCTTAAATTTGATTTGGCCAAATTGTCACTGAACCATTGTATAAGACGTGTTGTTAAAGCTCTTTATGATATAGGAACCAATTTTATCAAATGGCCATCTGTGGATCACATAAATGTTATAATGGAGAAGTTTGCAAGAATAGCTGGTCTTCAAAATGTTATTGGTGTTATTGACTGTACACATATTGAAATTCCAGCACCATATGTAAATATCTACAACATTATTTTATTTTATTTCCAACTTAATATTTTTTTATTTTCATCATCAAGAAGTTGTATTAATGTTAATATTAGTTATTTATTTTATTATGAAGATAAATGCTCAATCTTATCTGACAAGAAAATGCAGAACATGCAGTTACACTTCAAGCTGTATGTGATACAGACCTACATTTCATTGATTGCTTTGCTGGATATCCTGGGTCAGTAAGTGATATTAGAATTTTCAGAAATTCTGATTTGTGGCAGGCTATTCATAGAAATCGTCGCTTATTCTTTCCAAACAAGGAATTTATTATAGGGGATAAAGCTTATCCCTTACTGAGTTGGTGCTTGATAGCTTTTAAAGATAATGGTCATTTGACACAAGTAAGTATATTTTATAATTCTAAAACCAAATATTAAATTATTCTAACTTAATTTGTTGAAACTATATTGATATGGAATTTTTTGCTCGTTCTCTCTCTCTCTCTCTCTCTCTCTCTCTCTCTCTCTCTCTCTCTCTCTCTCCCCCCCCCTCCCTCTCTCTCCCTCTCCCTTTGTGGTATGTGTATGTTTCTTATATTTTTATTTTATATATTTTTTCTTACAGATTGAAAACAATTTTAATCATATATTATGTCAAACCAGACAAACAATTGAGCGAGCATTTGCATTATTGAAAGGCCACTTTAGACGTTTCAAATATTTGCATATGGCATGCATTGATTTGATACCAGCAACTATATTAGCCGGTTGCGTCTTTCATAACATATGTTTAAACTCTGGTGAAGAAATAGAAACTTATCTGATTGAAGAAGAACAAAGAAGGGAACGTGATGCAGAGCAAGAAGAGCATCATGGATAAGTTGAAGAACAATACGACAATGACGGTGTAATAAAATGCAATAACATTGCACAAAATTTATTTAGAGAAAGAGTATAGTAACCTGTGATGTTATCAATATAATTATATTTCAATATATTTTTTTATTTTATATAAGAGAAATGAAATATTACATGCAGAAGCTATATGTACATAAATAATATAAATAAAAACTTAAATGAAATACAATCCTACAATTGTATATTATACACATAAGATGGAAAATGAGTAGAAAACTTAGCTATATTTATTCTCATCTTTATAAAATATAAATATATTTTATTTGAGATGTATTAAATGTTCAACGTTTAAAACAGTATACATCATTTATAATCTTTATTAAAAAAACGAAATCTCTACCATACTTTTATTTTAATATTTGTGTTATATAAGCTATTGGAAGCAAAAATCAATTTCCTTTCTAATTTGAGTTAATATTAAGATAGAGATACAAAACAGCTCTTTTGTATGTCAAATCAAATTAGAAAAAAAGATTGACTTATCAATTTTTCTCTCAATAATTCATATATTACATATCACTTCACTTTTATATTAGTCTTTGAAATATTTTAACAGATATATAATCTTTTACATTAACAGATACTTAACTTTTTTCTCAATACAACTGTCTTATTAATTTTCGAAAAACAACTTCGCAATATTAATTCATATAGTTAAAAACGAAAATCGAATAGCAGTCTATTACCTTTAGAACAATATTTTCAAAACAAAAAATTAAAAAGTGAAATGAACAAGGAAGTATGTTAATATTGAAATAAATAAAGAAATTATAATTTTTCCAGAAACTTGCTCATAAATTCTTTATAGGTTGCTAAAGCTTCTTTTTGTTGTTCTATGTTCTCTTTATGCCTGCGCTCTCTTGCTTCTTCATTTTTCTCTAATTTTTCTTGAAAATATTTCCATGATTGCAAATTTCCGTTTTTTTTCTTCTTTATTAATGTTGGATTATCAGAATTTATTTCCTCGTCTTCTGTTGTTGATATATCTCTTTTACAAAGATTTGACGCAACAGCTATAGGCATCACACTATGCGATCTTCCATAAATTTTGTTCATTTCGTCGTAGTACTTACATTTCTTCAACGATGCCCCAAACTGGGCATTGTGGTCCTTTGTTTTCATATAAATTTTTTTTTAATTTTTCCATTTATTTTCCACCTGTTTAGCTGTATACATATAACCTTTTCCATTTAGGAATTCAGTAATCTTCTTCCACACAATATCATTTCTCACTTTATCATTTTTGAAAAGGTTTGCGTTTTCTGTCCATAATGAAAAGAACAACATAATTGTTGAATGTTCCCATACAGCTGTAAATATGGAAAAGTGCATAAGATTAACAAAATAGTTAATATCTCAAAACTAATAAAAATAAAATATATGATATATATAAAATATTAATATATTGATCTTACCATGATCCTTGTCTTCACAAGAAAGAGAAATATCTGTAAACATATTAATATATTAACAACAAGAACGTTAATGAAAAATTTTATGATTAATATTTAGGATTAATATAAATGAATAATTACATTGTAAAAAAATATATCAAATAGTTATTGTAAAAAGTTTAATTCATTCTTTTATCTCTTAAAAAATTAATAACAAAAAATATACCTTCTTTCGTTTTCTCTTGTATATTCGTAACTTTTATATTTTCCTGTGTATCTGTAACTTTTGGAGATATATTAAAAAATTTATATATTTCTGATAATTTTGATACAGTAAAGATAGTATTATCTGTACAAGTACAAACATGCAACATATTAGGTTATGAATAAATATAATGATACAATAGGTGGACTGGTAACTAACAAATACCATTGTAAATAAGGAATGTGTGTATGTGTCCTATTGTCACTAAGAAATGTTTTATAATTATACATAATCTAACCTAATCTAACCTCAATATAAGATTAATACTTCTTACTTACCTTTCTTGTCCTATCCATTACATGTACCTATCCATTATTAACAATGAATCATTTTTCTCTACTGGTATTCCACCTTTATCAGTCATTACAATATGTATTCCTTGTATCAAATTAGTCATATTAATTTTTTTTCTGTATAATATATCCAAGAAAACTCAGAAAAAAACTCAGAAGAAAACTCAAAGAAGTCACTAAACACGAACAAACCAAATTCTAAGATCGTTACTTAATTTAAATTTGCGCGGTTCGAACTTACTCTTGTAACCCTCCTCGAAATTAGAGTTATAAGAGTTAACTCCGGGTACTTGAAATTTTTGAACGATTAGGCTCCGCCCATTTAGTAAATTACACCACATTTTGGAACGACGTTGAGTTAACTCCGCTACTCCGAGTAGAGTTTTGGAACGCACCCCTAGAAAGAGAAAACTTGACACCCCTTTCCTAAAGAAAGAGAGAGAAAGATCTTACAATGGCTTCTCGTGTTTTACGTGTTTACGGGACTATAAGAAATTCGTTGAGAAATGGACAAATTATAAACAATGGTATAGCAAGCGAAATATATTATTATTTTTATATATCTTTGTATAACTTATACGTGTATTTAATTTATATTAATTTGTCAATCTAACTTTTATACTCACTGAATAAGGTTATGAATTTGTTTTAGATATATATAATTCACTGTCTGCCAAACACTCATATCTGTTAAAAACTTACGTTCCTTTGGTACATGAAGTAAGAAATACAACATTTTTCTCAAGAAGTAAGTAAAATTATTATAGAATCATTCCTAAATAACATTATTAAAAATGATTTGTATTTTAACAATGCTTTCTTTTTTTTTACAGAGACTGCGGATCAATTGTGGAAAGGTGTTACAAGTGTCAGTAATGCAGGAAGACATAGAGGTAGAGCAAAAGGATTACCAAGAAAAAGAGATTTGAACAAGGGACAGATTATTGGTGTAGGAAAAGTTCCTATACAATTTCCTGGCCTAAATACTCCTATATTTAGAGGGAGAGAACTAGTTCAACAACAGAAATTGCCTGTGGATCCTGAAAGGGAGGAAAAGTTAGCAAAATTACGGCAAAGTCAAATTAAGCCAAAACGAATAAAACTTTCTCCATTGGAACGTGGTTGGACAAGTGTTTCAATAGGTGGCAGAAAAATTGGACCACCTGATCCTATTGGAGAAGGTGATTAATGCTAACTGTAATAATGTTTCATTGTTACTCAACTCGTAAAATTTATATATAATATATTAATTATATATATTATAAAGTTCTCTCCTTGATGTTTTAATAATAGTGACGTTATAATTATATGATATATATATATATATACATGTATATTTTTTATATATTTAGATATTTTTGACAATTTTGAGACTTGGGTCTTGGAAAGTAAAATGGTGAGTTGTATGACTAGTAATTTAGGATGCAAAAATCGGATCAGTGCATTTGTTGTGACAGGAAATAGAAATGGACTAGCTGGCTTTGCATTAGCAAAAGCATCTGTAAGTAAAGCTGCTTTAAAGACAGCTAAGAATAGAGCAGGTCAGAAGCTGATGTATATTCCTAGATATAAAGATCACACTGGTAAGAAATATATACATTTTCATTGCATAAACATTATATAATTTCTGCAGTTTTGTAAACAGTATTAAATTATATCTCTTTGTATATTGCAGTGCTACATAATTTTTACACACAGTTTGGAAGAACAAAAATATTTGTAACGAAAAAATATGAAGGATACGGGCTTATTTGTCATCGTGCAATAAAAGCATGTTGTGAGGCAATTGGCATAAAAGACCTATATGCCAAAGTGGAAGGATCTAAGAATTTGCAGCATATTATAAAGGCGTTTTTTATCGGTTTGTTGCAACAGGTATTTGTGAAATAATTTATTAATATGTTAACATATATCTCTTCTCAATTCTATACACACATGCACACACATATATATGTATATTTTTTTTATTTTATATTATCGATGTATGAGTTATAAATAATTAAAACTTTATTATTTCTTATTAGATAAAAATTTAGAAATGCAGAGAAATAAAATATATCTGTATTTCTTAGGTGATATATATATAGGCAAAATTTTACTATTAAAATATATTAATATATTATATCAAAACACTCAATATTAAAAATTAACTTCTATTTTTGCAATGTACAACGAAACAAACTTAACATTAAATAAAAATGTTTGCAGAAATCGCATCAACAAATGGCGGATGAGAAACGTTTACATTTGGTCGAGTTTAGAGCTGAAAACGGTAACTATCCTATAGTAGTTGCTTCACCATCAGTAGTAAGGAAATCAGAGGAAATACCAGTGAGCGAGATTCTTGATTTTCATCAATATATAATGGATGGTAGAGTAATATTACAAAAAAAGAAACGTGAGCCATTTTATACCAGACACAACTCTTGGATACTAAAAACGAGGAAAATGGAGCGTATAAGAAATCATGATGATACAAGCATAAAATTAAGGGCAGAATATGGAGGACTGCACAGTTTTCTAACCGAAAAGTATCCAGAGGCAAGATTACTTCCTCCTAAAAAGCGAAGCGAAGATAACGAGACAGTAGAGTAAAGAACATATAATTGTTATAATATAATGTATAAATGTTTCAAAATAAAATTTTCTTCGTTAAAATATTGAAAGATTTGATGCTGAAAAACAATTTTAAGAATTAATTACATTTTTATTATAGATTTATTGTCAGACTGTTTAGCTAAGATTCGAATTATAATACCAAGTAATGGAAAAAATTTACTAACTTTCGTAAAATTTGGTCATGATTAAACCAAACGTTTTTATAATTGCATTCGATTTTTTCAAATTTTTTCTTCTATTGGAAATGTTTCAAAATTATAGTTTTAGAACGATATCTCTATTTCGTGTATTCTCTGTGGTGAAAATTTCGAAGTGGCGCCATCTTATATAACTCGATCAGTATTATCATATGCAACTGTAAACCTTTAACACCGACGAGATACTATAAAGATTGTTGGGCTTAAGCCCGTATCAGACTACGGATTGGGATTGAGTATTGGATTGAAATTTAATCAGGAGAAATTCAATCAGGAGTAAGTTTACTATACTTGAGATTATTTTCTCTTTTTCAATTGGTCAAATTTCAATCTAATCTCAATCCCAATCCATAGTCTGATACGGGCTTTAGGAATATCGTGACTGGAAAGCTGGAATATGAAACATAGCTTGAAATAAGCAAGGATGGTAATGGGATGGTAATAGATATAGAATAATGGGAAACAAGTATCGGAAAATATCAAAAAACTATTAATATAGAAAACAGGCCGAATGTGTATGTGTGTAAGTTTCCTAGGATTGCGGGACATGAGAAAATTTAGAATAATTATTTTAAACAAAAATCACATATCAACTATCAAAACGTATCTTTATCTCAGTTTACGAATGACTTTATCTCTCACTACCGCGTTTTGGCACCACGCAATGCCAAACTGAAGGGTACGGTAAGGCGTTAATGGAAATAATTTATTCATAAACAAGATGATAAGACATGAAAAACGACCGGCAGAAACAAGCATACAGAATGTTTTTATTACTTCACTTATTGTGAGTAATATCATAAATGGTATTTTTATTAACATGTTTTTCACAAGTATCTACTTTATGATTTCGATATTTATATATGTAGTAACATGATAAATATATTATTATTATATAAATATATTATATTATATATATAATATATAAATATATAAATATATTATAATTAATATAAAATATTAAAAGTACAATAAAATTATATATTTTTCATTAATATGATTGAATAACGTTTACCTAGGCAGGAGGTGCTGCAGGAACATTTGTGGATATTGCATTATATCCATTAGATACATTAAAAACTCGATTGCAGAGTAATCAAGGATTTCTTAAAACTGGAGGATTTGCAAGTCTTTACAAAGGAATTTATCCAGTTATAATTGGCTCAGCACCGACAGGTAATAATTATAATGCCTAATATTTACTAATCTCAAGTTCCAAATTATACTATAACCTTATATAATTCATATATTTTAGCTGCATTATTTTTTTTAACATATGAAGAAATTAAAACAGTAATGCAACTTAGAATTTCTAAACAATATCATATTTTACTCCATATGGGAGCAGCAACATCAGCAGAAATGGTATTATTTTTTAATAATTATATTATTTCAATAATTATTTAAACAAATTAAAGAATAGAAATTAAAAGCACTATTTCATATAGTTTAATATGTAAAAGATCTAAAATATTATCAATTTTTTATATATTAAATATACTATAATTCATTATTTCATATATTAAATATTGTCTTAAGTATCTAATTAATTCAAAAAACAATTTTAATTCAAGAAGATTCAATCATATATTCAATCATTAACTATATTATTCTATGTACAAAGGTAGCATGTTTAATACGAGTCCCAGTAGAAGTTCTAAAACAAAGAAGACAGGCACAAATACTAGACAAAAAGTTTCTTGGTCTTAAGTTATTATATCGTGGGTACTGGAGCACAGTATTGCGAGACACACCATTTAGTGTTGTACAGTTCCCATTGTGGGAATATTTAAAAATATCTTATAGTTCTTATATTGAAAGAAAAATATATCCTGTAGAAAGTGCAGTCTGTGGCGCAATTTCAGGTTTAAAATATTTAAAAAATAATATAAATACATAATATTAAGTAAATTTTAATCTTATATAAATAAAGCAGCATTGCTTCCATTTGTATATACACTAAATAATTTTAGGAGGTATCTCTGCAACTATTACAACTCCACTAGATGTTGCAAAAACGAGGATAATGCTTGCTAGTAGAACATCACTTTCATTAGAATTATCGATATCAAATGTACTTTATGAGATATATACAGAAAATGGCTTTCGAGGGTAAATATTCCTATTTTTTTCTCCCTATAATTAAAGTTAGAAATTTTTTAATATATTTAATATTTTGGATATCACAGATTGTTTGCTGGATTTGGGCCAAGAATAATATGGATTACATTAGGAGGTTTTATATTCTTTGGAGTCTATGAGAAAACAAAAGTACTTACACAGATAATATTCCCAATGCTAAAATAAAAATTATTACAGGTATGTAGTATGCAAAAGGATGATGCAAACACTTTTCTATGCATATGTGTATATATGTGTATACACACACATGCACACACACATTATATTAAGATATTAAGATATCAGTAAAAATATAATTTATATTCTGTTTATAAAACTTGTACAGTTATTTATATTATGTACAAAAATTTTATAAGATAAAAATGTTTTCATTTGTAAAACTGAAATATAAACAATTCAGTCGAATATGCTAATACTGACAAGCATTAATTCATAATAATTCAGATTTAGTTAAATTTCTTCTAGAATCATTTTTTTGAACACTTTATTAACATGTTTGCAACTTAGAGCAACAGAGATAATTTTTTTTCTATTTACATAAACAAATCACACAAGTCTTTTTTCTACACAATTACATAGAATAATATAAGATAGTTATACAGAGTTTTCCAAATGAATTCTGGTTAAACACTTAATTCTGAATGAAATTTTTTCTATACAAATATGTTAACATAGCCATAACTTGAATTATAAATTATGAAAACCATTTTGCATTTTTACAGTTTAATTAGATAATATTTTGAAACATTTATAAAATGTATAAATCCAATTTTTGCCAAGAAAACATTGATTTAACCATTAGACAAAAAAAAAAATAATGCTGAAACATCATATACCACATGTTAACCATTAGATAAAAAAGAAAAAATAATGCTGGAACATCACGTATACACAGTTCTTTTTTTTTATAAATGACAAATATTGCATATATGTATGTGCATAAAATATAAAATATATTTATGATCACTTTGAGAAAATTGTATTTCATATGTTCTGCAATATATCAAAATTTATAATAAAATATACATAATCATTCAATAACATTTATCACATTTTTACAATTTAGATTTCAAACTGGTCATCAGTTTTTCCAGTTTCATTGCCTTCTGTAAGTTGCCGCTTACTTTCAATTTGCCTGACATGAAAGCAGCAGTAGGCTTTAGTTTACCTATTAGATAAATAAATTTATAAATATTGTGTATTTACAAAATAAAATATTTATAAAATTTACAAAATTGTGGAAATAAATTAAAAAAAACTGTTATTAAAAGAAATTTCCACTCACCTGAAAATATAGCGAAGAAATTCTGTGAATCCATTGTAAGTGTTGCATCTGCTGGCTGATTCGGTTCTCCTTTTCCAGTAGCACCTTTCCCATTTTTCAAATCAATAAAATATACACCAGCTTCCTCTCCTAAGAGAATAAATTAATATATATAATATAAAAATATATTTAAACACATATATTGAAATGGTGTCTTTTCAAATAAAAGATTAAAGACCAATCATAGTGACTAAACTTCATGTGCTTAATCATGCAAGATTAAATTACCTTTAACGTTGAATTGATATATAGCGCCAGTTTTGCTGACCAATTCACTACTTAGATTGGCGTTAATGACACTAAATATACTTTCTAGCTTTCCACTTCCACCACTGCTTGTTTTGTCAGAAATTTGACTTTTAGTGAATGGATGTCCTTGAATAATTGAAAGATTATCTTCTACGAAAAAATCTGGCATTAAACTATCCTTGTTTTCTGCAAAAAAATAATATAAAAATTAATATAAAAAAATTATCACAGTCATTTTTATTAAATCATGAAACATAGTAATACTACCTGGGTTGCAGGCATAATCTGTGAAATCTGTAATGCCCTCGCCTTTCAATATATTTTCGTCAATTAAAAATTGTCCAGTAACAGTTTTGCTATCTTTGCAGAGCAATGTGTAAACAGCATCCGCCATGATTTCAGGTTTACGACTGTAATTACTCGAATCTGGACCTGATAGCATTTCGATTGCGGCAGTATGTATAGCTACAAACAGTATCATTTCATTTAAAATACATGATGTTTTTTAAAACGATATACTTATGCACATTTCAGATTGCAAAGCAGAGCCTAGAATTTATTCTTCATCATGCCCCACAAAACGTTGAACAGCAATATACCTGTCTTTGGCCAAACGGCGTTTACTGCAATTCCATTTGGTTTTAATTCCTCAGCCATTCCAAGCACGCACATGGACATTCCGTATTTAGCTATTGTGTATGCAACATGATTTTTGAACCAAATCGGTTTCATACTCAATGGAGGACTTATATTGACTATATGCGGATTCGAACTTTTCATCAAATATGGTAAACAGACTTTTGATCTAAAACATAATTTCATTGATTCGTAATTTGTAACATAAATTTCAAGATATACCCACGATTACCTTAATAAATTTAGCTATGTAAGTCTGTCCTTACAACTACATTACTCAACATTAATTCATTAAATATCAAGAATATGGTAGCATAGCAGAAAAAAAGAACTTACACAAGGAATGTTCCTCTTGTGTTGATATTATTCATCAAATCATATCTTTTCATATCAGTTGCAAGAGTACCTGTTAGAGAAATAGCGCTCGCATTGTTTACAACAATATCTATTCCACCAAATTTATCAACTGCATTTTTTACTGCATTAACCACTTGTGCTTCATCGCGAACATCTACAACGCAAGGTAGAGCCTTACCACCAACTGCTTCAACTGAAATACATTTTCCGCACTAAATTATTAAGTTTGGAAAGTTTTAAGCTGTAAATATATGGCTGACATAGTGGAAAAGTTGAATTATTTGTAATTCAGTCTGGCACTGTATAAAATTAAATACAGCAATAAAGTCTTTGTTGAAAATAATGTGATTAAGATTTATCTGATAAAATTCAAAACATGATTATGTAATATAATATATGCTATATGCAAAGTGTAATATTCATATGTACAAGAACTTAATTTTTCATGCAGTAGACATTTTGGCTAATGTTACTATAAAGCAATAAATATATATTAGGATTACAAACAATATAACAAATAAAATTATTAGCAATGTTCTTTACTTTATCCATTTTTCAAATATATTTCTACTAGCACTACGCACCTCTATTTGTATGTCATAGCTTTTATAAAAAAAGCAATATAGAAATTAGACATCTTAAATCCAATAATATCAATGATGAATTAATGCAATCTTTGCAAAACCATACTTGTAACTTCAATTAATTTTCTATTGGTTGTACTCGCTGATATTAATGTATCTTAAATATGTCCAATAGTGTGCGTGTATGCATGTAGATAATAAGATATGTTAATATCATAGTATTGTCCATTGACATTCAGTATATTCAAATTAATATTATTCCTAGTATTTATATTCCTACAAATTTTTTTTATGGATTTATATAATAAATATAAATTTGAATTTATTTTCTAAATAATTACTTTCACTGGCTGTTGTATAAATGGTACCCGGTAATTTTGGATGCTTTTCAGCAGTTTTGGCAGCAATAACCACATTTGCACCATCTTTCGCTGCTTTTAATGCTATGCTTTTTCCAATACCTCTGGAAGCACCTGTGATAAAAATTGTGCGACCAGCCAATTTTCTACATCAAATAATAATAATTAGCATTGATATCCACTTATTACAAACTATAAAATCGATAATCAAATTGAGAAATTTAAATATGAATTGATATGAATATATTATACAAATATAAATTATACCTTGTGAACGATTGAAATAATTAAATTAATATTAAATATAATTACAAAGAGAAAAATTATAATAAAAATTTGCTGAATCATGTTCAATTATTCTCACATATTTGGTTATAAAGCTACATACCCTGTATTGATCATCTTTTATATATCTTTGAAATATATTAGCGTATTAAATGTTTTACACGTCGATCACTATCGAGTTCTTTATGTCAAAGGAATTGTAACAAACTTTCTCAAGTATATAATTTGTACATATACTAAAGAGATGTGATAAGTCTTCATGTATTAATATAGTAATGGTACTTTGAACTCAACTTCCACTTTATAGGCTCCAGTGTATCATATAGGGTGTCTCAGAACTTTGGGACACAGACTCCGTAGGGATATAGAGCTAAGTGAGAGGAACAAAAAAGTCCTGTGCCATAATGTGAAAATCGTAATAGTTTTTTAGTAATAACCGCGTAAAGTTAGGCGTTTTCCATGCCCAGCACGGCCTATAGACGCTCCGCGGCAAGCTGTGTGCGTAGGGGCTGAACGATAACGCAGCTCGCGCTGACCGTCGCGCAGCGTCAAAGCGCTAGACGCCATCGCGACAGTCAGCGCGAGACGCGTTATCGCTCAAGCCCCTACGCACACAGTTTGCCGCGGAGCGTCTATAGGCCGCGATGGGCGTGGAAAACGTCAAACTTTACGCGGTTATTACTAAAAAACTATTACGATTTTCACATTATGGTACAGGACTTTTTTGTTCTTCTCACTTAATTCTATGTCCCTACGGAGCCCGTGTCCCAAAGTTCTGAGACACCCTGTATATACTATTCAATATACAACTGTATACTTATGTTGATCATAAACTACAAAATCAATCGAACAACCTGCAGTGAGATTAAAGAGATGGGCGGATCCACTACCTAATCGGATACTGTTCACAATTATTATTATTATTTTATGCCTTTGCGAATCAAAATAAAAATCAAAAGAAATATCATAAAACTATAGCTTTATCTCTTCACTGAATCTCATAAATGCTCGTACATTAAATGCATCAAACTGAGCCACAGGGCCAAAGCACAGACTTCTGCATAACGCATAATACACAACGTATAAGAGAATCAACCAATCAGAGTTCTTCATTTCTATCCTGAGGAGGGAAATGAAGAAAACTAATTGGTTTATTCTCTTATGCGCTGTATATTATGCGTTATGCAAAAGCCTGTGCTCTTGCCCTATGGCTGTAAGGCTGTAACATAAGCTGTCAGCAAATGAAAATATTTCATTTCGTGTCTTGCAACCTTACAGCCTAAAGCCCTAAACACAATGTCAGGCAACAGGCAGTAAGAATAAAAATAGACTAATCACAATAGATTATTCTTGTAATAGTCGATTGTGATTGGTCTATTTTTATTCTTATTGCCTGTTGCCTGGCATTGTGTTTAGGGCTTTACTCTTACAGTTAATGTAGACGAGCCTTTACTGCTTACTGCCATTGTAGGCCACGCTATATGTTTTTGCGCGGCGGAACGTAACGAACGTTGGTTGTGTTTTCTCCGGCTATACCGCGATTCTGTAACTCATTATTGGAGTTAACGACACTTTCGTTATCGTTGCGCAGCGTTTGTATACCGTAGAAAAGCTGTGCAACAATAACGGAAGTGTCGTTAACTCCAATAACGAGTTACAGAATCGCAGCACTGCTGTCCTTTGTGCTTTTCTTACCTCTTGTTCGACGACCTGGCTATTCCTTTTGGAGCTTATTCTGGTTATCTGACATTCCTGGCTGTTCTGCATTGATTTTGGCTGTTTCTTTACCCGGATTTAAATATCCTTGACGTATTGCTTCATGTATGGAACAAAGTAAATGGACCCGCAGAGAATTCAACATGTTCCCTCCACGCATATGGAGGTAGAACTTTCGGGTGCATCTCTCTTAAACATCGCTCCATCCAATACGGAAGAAACCTTGCAAACTAATACAGGTAATCTTACTCATATCCTGAAAAAGAATCGACTCGCTGAATATGACTCGGATTCGGACCACTCATCCAAGCGGGCACGTATTCTTTTATCTGAGCACATCAAGCTTCTTATCAATAATAAATATTTGTCTAATTCGAATGGGCCGTTTGAGGTTCACCTTGAAAAATTGAATGATACCGAGTTTAACAAACATTATGTTAGCGAAATTAAATTCGGAAAGAAGTTAGCTCAGTCTTACCCGTCCTTATGGAAAACGGCGTATAACCTTAAAAATCTCGGTACAAAGAAATTTTCTATCTTTTTCTATGATGCTTTCTCAGTTAACAAATTTGTTGACAATTTCGTTACTTCGGCCAATTTGGTATTCAAAGAGGATACTTGGGTTGCTTATATACCAAACCATCGAGTCACTACACGTGTAATTACGCGAGATATTGATCCAGATGAATCAACCGAAGAAATTAAAAAGTATATTTCTCCCCCCCCCCCAGGATGGGAGGGAAATTGGCCTGAAATCTTAGAAGTTAAACGAATCCATAAGAGTCAATGATCCTCAGAATCCAGATTCCTATAAATTAGTACAAACAAAATATTATGCTCCTTATCTTCAAGAGCTCTTGTTCTCTAAAAGGGGCACTATACCTGGGCAAACGCATTCGTTTTGCCCCATCCTTGCAAAAAGTCATAAGATGCCTCAACTGCCAGAGATTTGGACACGTCGAGGCTCAGTGTCGCGGTGGAGACAAGGCTAGATCATGTCACAATTGTGCCTCTAATGATCATCTATCTAAGGAATGCAACTCAAATAGCATAGCATGCATCAATTGCATTAGACGTAACCTTCCTAAAACCGATCACAGGGCTAATTCTTACTACTGCTCAGTATTCATTGAAAACAAGAAAATTAAGATTATTATGTCTAAACTAGGACTAGGACCTAGAGAAGCATTTACATATTATAAATCAATAGGTATCAATCAACCTGAAAACTGGTTTTCGATCAACCCGTCTTACAATGATGATTTGCCGACTCTGTTGGACTTTGCCCCTTGGCTCAAGGACTTTGATCCCAACTTGGGCAAGGAACATAACCAATCACCTACTAAAGACATCCCGGAATCATACTCCTCAGTTATATCCAGGAAAAACACTTTAAAAAAGCAGACCTCTAACCGAAGGGCACTTACAGCACGCAGAAGAAAGAGGTCAGTGGGTTTTGACCAGGCTGACCTTGCAGTTACTCAGGATCCTCAGTCGATGGCCACGGTTGCTACCTCTTCCTCCCCTCCTCCAATTTCCACCTGTATCAATACCTACGACTCTAATGAGATCACTGACGATCCTAATATTCTCCAGCTTACTGTTAGGGAAAATTCTACAGAAAATGATGCAATCAATTCTGTAGGTCAAACTAACTCACATAATAATATTCCAGCTGACTGTAATCTCTTTATTGGATTTGGAACAAAATGAATAACTAAAAAGCAATTTTAAAAAAATAAACAATTTAAAACAATGTATACTCATTCTTTATTTTATTTTTTTTCACTGTTTTTTTTTGCATATTTTGTTGATATTCGCATTGCTGCTTTATACATATAATTATCGCTATCTGTTGTTATCTTTTTACATAAAATGTTGTTGATATGTGTACACTAAGTTTTAATAAATTGATATTTTATAGTTGTAAAAAATGTTGTTATTAAATGTGTACATTGCGACAGTAATGGCAATAAATGCTGTTCTTTTTCTAAAATTGTTTGTACCTTCTCTGCTACTTTAAGTTCACAGCAAATATCTAGGAATTTAATTTCAAGTGTAGCATTCACATGTTGTATAAAATGTAAAAATTTTACATCGTTCAGATTATTGGAACATATTGTGCATTCTATAACATTCTGATCATGACTAACAATCGTAATAATTTTGAGAGGATCTATTGTTAATTCAGTACTTGTAGTTTGAGAAATAGGTGTTTCTTCTGTTTCTTCTATATCTTGCTCGACAGCTTCTCTTTCGTGTGCTATTTCATCCAAATCCATCATATGTGATAGAGCTAAAGATGTTCCTACACTATCTTCTGCACAGTTTGCTCCAAAAGAATGCTTAGATGTTACATTGCATATTAACAAAGCTTTGAAAGCTTCTTGGTATTGCTTCGGATTTGGATTATTGTTACTGCCTCCAAAATTTCTAATTTGGCTGAAAAGTTTTCGATAACATCCTGATTAAGAAACTTCAAATTGAATGTTTCAAAATTAGCATCCTGTAATAAGCATCCTGTAATATGTTCCATATCTCTTGTACAGCTTTAATATTACGAAACCAGTTTTTCAAACATTTTGGGCTATTCTTTTTAATTATTTGACGAGTTCCTTTTTCAACATATTGCATGTTTTTTAATTTATTGCATGCTTCTTTCCAGAAAGAAATATGTCCACTGTTTGCTGTTAATATGCTGCTCAGTCCTTGTCCTTTATTCCCATTAAAGGAATCAAACAAATCATTGAAAACTGATAAGATGGTGGATGTAGTTTCAGCGGTTTCAGAGAACGTTATATTACCATGCTGTGTTTTAACAACTCCTGCAATAATAAAGATATAATGCAGTAGGTTATAGAAAGTATATAAAAATCATATGTTTATATATTACGTACAATTTCACAGATTTTAAATATAATTTTACCTTCACTAAAATTTAGGATTACGTCTATAAAGTTGGAAACAGTACAACTTAAAACTTGAGTCGCATATTTCACTCTCATTTTGGGAATCATTTTAATATAAATATGTTTATCTGTTAGTTTTGGCATTTGACGTAGTTTGAGAAAAGAAAATTTATCAATTTCGTATGCCATAATAATGTCATCCCAAGAAGCATATTTCTTTTTTTCATTAGGTTTTATATTTGTATTTGTCCATAAGTCTCTTATTAACAGATTATTTCTAATTCCCTTTATTAAGTGTACATAATCGAATACTGGGATAATTTTTTTTCCTCTTATAAAGAAGCCATCTGAAACAACATCAATATTATTATTGTTAATTGTAGAAAATTGTTTTGTTATATACGATTGTTAATAAAAATATTATTTAACAATATAGTAATTGTACCTGTGTGTATATTCGTTGTAATATAAATCTTGTTACTCTCATCTATTAGGGCATTGATTGCTGCCACGTTAGTAGCACTTTGGTCACATGCTGTGGCTACTGGTATCAAGCCGCACTTAATTATATGAAACAACCATTCCTTTATACATCGTACTAGTTGAAATGTCTTAGTACTACCTTGACAAAAACCATATCCTAAAGGCATCTTATTTCTTGTTTTTAGGCATCGTAAATAAAAAGCAATAGCATGATCTGCAATTTTTATTGTTCTCTTATGACCCCAATCTTCAAATCCGATGATCTTATCATGTGTTTTATCATATGTTAAAGCAGACTGCAGAGATATTTCGTCCCATATTAAAGCTACAAACTTATCTCTTTCATCATGTATATCTTGTGCAACTTGTTCCAGGTACTTAAGAATTAGTTTTGTACATCCAGCTTGTAAAGGGATGTAAGTTGAGAATTTAATGTAACAATTGATGGACAGAGCAAATATTTTGATAAGAAGTTATAAGCGGAACGGGACCTCTTATAAACTGAGATACAAAAAAGTTTATCTTCCACACTATATCTACGAGCCTGAAAGAAATTTGAAATTTGAATTTTTTTTATTTCATTTATTTTTTTTTATTTTATTTATTTTTTATTTGAAGTCTTATTTATAGCAAAATGTTATAAGTGTACTTAGTTATATTTATGTATGAGTATATATTTTTATAACCAAAATGTGTTCAGGTGAAAATATTAAGCAGCAAAATAAATAAATAAATAAATAATTTCTATATAAATTTAATTATATAATGAATTTTGTATATGTTTTTAACGTATATATGTAATATACATATTCTTGAGGTACATGTAAAATGTAGTCTGTCGTTAAAAAAAAAAATATATATATATATATATACACAATTGATATGTAAAATATTATATATATAAATAATTTTTATAAAGTTCATGATTTAAAATATAAGAATATTTTTTTTCTGTGACACTAAGTGCTAAGTACCTCGGGAAGTACATCATTATTTTTTAAGATCATTCGGACGAAATTATCTCGTACAGCTGTAATACTATTTCTTGGATCTGAAGTACTGGATACAATAGGTACTGTTCTTCTTTTTTCTGCTGCTTATTATTATATATTAAATATCTATTGCGACGTTTAAGTTTAATATTCATATCATAAAATCTCCTACATATGGGGCTTAAATTTTTAGATTGAGTGATTTCCTGTAGCTGAGGTCGTTTTTTTATTATATTTTGTATACTTTGTATTTGCATTTCTAATGTTTGCAGTCTGTTTCCATAATTATGAAGAACAGAAGTTATTTTATCTTGTTCAGACACTGAGCTTTCACAAGCTTTTTCATGTGTATTGCTGCAATCCATTAACTTTTCATTTTCTTCTACAGATATGTATTTATTATTTGCACATTGTGGATCTTGACTGTATTGTGCATATTCTGATATATCAATTATTGATTGCTGTTGCTGCGATATATGCATCTTGTTAGATTCCGCATCTATACTATTATGTATAAACAATATAGGAACCGCAACATTTAATAAAACACGTTTATGCAAACATGGACTATAGTCTTCTGGACGAAAATGTTTATGGCACACTTTATTTTTTTGTATCTCATTGCTTGGATAATTTTCTCTAAATCTAAATGTTTCAATTTCAAACTTTGTACCCATTTTGAGCATCTTTCAGGATCTTTGGGAAATCGATGTGAAGGCACTTCTTTCCCAGACTTGCATCCAGGAACACAACATGTCCTCCCCATATCTATGCTCAAATATCTTAGAGGGACGTTCTTTTAAAATCTATGACGCAACGTACGCTGAAAACATTTTCGATGCTACAAATAAAAAGTAACGTAACAAATACTTACGTCTAAATAACAAGCGTGTTAATATGTCTTTACCTTCACCGTATATATGGTAGTTTGGAGCGAGCGACGATGACCACACACAAAAAAATTCCTTTAATTACAAGAAGTGTTAAACAACGTTCAAATATTTATTGTAGAAATATAGTTGGCTGCGTTCAGCGAACATAAGTAACATATAGACGCACCAGTCTTATAACAGACGCCATATTGAATTTTTGGCATCGTAGTTCACATTTCCTGGGGGCTATCTTTTAGATAGCGTTAAAACACTGGTCAGAATTTTCCCATAAGAGTTTATCAAGCCTGACTCGCATTACATTTACCACATTGAATCCCTAGCTATTCTGCGTGCTGTAAATAGCCCTAGAATCTAGGGAAGGTAAGGTTGGTATCTTCTCTGACTCTTTCAGCTGCCTCAGCTCACTATACAAAAACGACATTGAAGGCAAAAGCCCCGAACTTATCTTTTGCATCAAAGCCAAAATTCAGGAAACATTCAGGAGAAACATCAACATCCAATTAATTTGGATCCCTGGACACCGGGACATTCCTGGCAATGACATGGCAGATAACTTAACAAAATTAGGAGCCCTCAGTACCGAACCTCCTTCCTTGGACTACTGTAAACCTATATCTGAAGACATTATTCACTTACACTATAATGCCTGCCTTGGATCAGCAATTATAGAACTAGAAGAATCTTTCACACACAAAGGCATCAGATATAGAAGATTCTGTGACGAAATCCTTCAAGGTCCCTGGTTTGATGATCTCAGAGGAGTAAATAGAGGTGTCATAACACTAATGGCCAGGTTAAGATCTCATCACGTTGCCACCGGTCTACACCTCATGGACAAAAACATCATCGATGATGCTATATGCGAATGTGGTTGGTCCAATAGGGACCTGGAGCACATCTTATTCAGATGTCCTACCTTCGCTAAAGAATCGGATTCTTTGTTGCTCCGACTGTTCTACACGGATGGAGCTTCTGCTACGGGGAATCTTTATGCTGCAGCTTTTAACAACCGCAACATTAACGTATTCAAAGAAATAGCCAACTTCCTTAAATCCACTAACCAATCCATTTAACTCTCCTTCCCCTAAACGCAGCTGGAGAATGGCGTATGGGTACACCCTTCTACCTAAAGCCATATACCGAACTGAACTGAACTGAACCACGCTATATAGTTCATGCATTTCTAGAATTTCAATACTAATAGTGAATATCGGAACATATCCCTTATATTACAAGCGTATGTAAATTCATTAAGTCGAAAATAAACATATTTAGCTAAAGAATATGCAAGAAGATTATTAAGGTAAGTTGAGAGCCATTTTTATCAAGTTTCAGTTAACTATTTTAATAGTCTTGCTGATTCTGATTGAAATCGTTATAAGAAAAAATAAAATAATAAAGAAACCGCTATGAGAAGGAATAGAAAATAAAGAACAAAACGGCAACTTCAATTAGAATTCTGTAAGGTTGCTAAAACGGTTAGTTAACTGCAGCTTGATAAAAGTGGCCCTGATTAATTGGTTAGGAGTATACGCATCGCCGCACTAACATCTATAAAAATCTCTTGCAAAAAGATTATAATCGCGCAAAATGCATCTCGCAAAGTGGTATGTTCTATATTATATTTGGATTTGCTAAAATTTATCTTCAGATACTATAAGAGCTTTTCATTGGCTACGTAGCATCTTAAGATGAACTCGGACAATATTTCTTCTCTCAATACAAGATCGGGAAATGAATATCTAGAGTCCATTCTACATTAGTCACAAGTCGCAAGGTCGCAAGCAAATTGACCAATCACAGTTGATTATTTTTCGATTCCAAGAAGAACAATCAACCACGATTGGACAATTTGCATATATGGTGCGCACGCAACATCGTACTTCGAGAAGTCGCGATATATTGCGATTATACACTGCGATAGTCCCAATTCTGGGATTATTTCAAAGCGACACACGTGAGTTCAAAAAGCAAGGACATTCGTGACAGCGAGGTATTGTTAAATGTTCGTCGAACATTTTGCAAGAATGTTCAATGAAGATATGCGCGTTCGTCGTACAGCAGTAGCAGCAGCTCTCGCTCGCATTTTGAAAATTACACCGTTGCAGATCACAAATGGCGATGCGATGGTTCGGATCCAGAACACTGCTTCATATTTCCAATGTATTTTGGCTTATCATGGATAAGCCTCACGTTATTAAGAATGTCGAGAATAAGGCCTGATCTACAATAGGTGTTGTAAGCTGTAAGCCGTAAGAACTGACCAATTATAGCTGATTATTTTTGTAATAATCGACTGTGATTCGCCAATTCTTACGGCTTACAACTTACGACACGTATTGTAGATCAGGCCTAAGTTTCACGCGTTCGTTCGTTGATAACGTATCGTTAAACAACAATCGTTAAAAGCAATTACGCGGAACGGTGCGTTGATAAGTTAGATTTCGTGTGTTCGTATTTTACATCGTTTCGGAATTCAAATCGCAACGCTTTGCGCTTTCGACCAACCATAAAAATCTCATATGCAAAATATTATCGGGAAATTACCATATGTTTCGTGCATTTGTCGCGACGAAATATCATGAGGTAGCTAATAACGGACAACAGTATCTTGCCAAAAGTTTTGGAGACCATCGAGGATGCCGGATGGAATATCGTGTTATCATCATATTATGACGATAGGAGTCAAATTCTGTGTTCCTGCCGCGTTGAAGAAAGAGAACAGTAAATATTGTTAGAGTAGAAGACTGTATTTATTTAAAATACTCTGTAATAACATTTTGCCTGTGTAGTAGATCAAGTATTATATTGTTGCTATATCAAGCATAAAAATATCATATATCTAGTAAAAACCGTTAACAACGTTAACTTTACATAGACTGACACAAATAGATTTATTTATAATATACAAGATTGGCGATAAACCGTTGTTCTAATCGTAACACAATAGGACTTCAATGTGATATATATCTCTTCTAAATCTTTCCTAAAAACCTGACTCTGCTTCTTTTTCAGTTCCTCTTTCCGCTTCAAAGTAGTAACCTCAGTACTCTTCAATCGCAGCACGTCGGTTAATCTTTCCGTAATACATTCTGTATCGCGTCTTTCGCTTTTTGAACGCCGAGACGGAATTGGCCAAATTCCGGACGGATTTTCATCCCACGATAATAAAACACCAAACTCATCTCGAAATCGCCCAGATGATAAAGCGCCTCCGCTTTGCAGTATACCGCTTTGGCGTTGCTGGAATCCTTAGGATTTAATCGTAACGCCGCTTCGGCATCGTCCAGCGCTTTCTGCGGCTCACCCAACAAAAGGTGACACTTGCTCCGTGCTATCAATGCATTCTTGTCGTTCGGGTTCAAATCCAGTGCCTGTCAAATAAATCCTTACGTCATTATATAACGCAGTGATTTGCCAGATTGTCTTTGATAAAATTGCCAAGAAACTGGGAACAAAAGGATAATTATTCTACTCATTGCAAGTATACATAGATGCGAGGCAAAGTAAATTGGGGCAAATGCTTCGTATAAATTCTTATGGACTCCAAACAAACGCGATGTTACATTTACATAGAAATGAAACGTCGATAGAAGACATTTTAATAATTTATTCTGAGAATCTCTTTCTTTCTTTCTAAATTTTCGACTAAAAATTTCTTGCATATTTCATGTTTGTTGCTGTTTCATTTCTATCTAACTGTAATATTGCATATTTATTAAAAGTTTGTGAAAATCCCGGGGATTCGATTTCTTTTCACTTTCATTGAATACACGTGTGTCGGTTTCGAATATGTTTCTATACGTGTATGCACGTTTGTCCTTCTCTCTGAATGATGTCTAAAAAAATTATCAGGGCTCTTTCGTGCGACAAAGCAAGCGCGTGAACCTTGTTTATGCAATTAACGGCGACGTTAACATCGCCAAAGCGCATTTCGCGCAAGCCAAGCGTCAGCAGCGCGCCGGGCTCGGTCTCCTCCGGGAGTTGTAGATTTCTGCTGCGGTCTTGGCGTTGTTTCATCTTCAGGGATTGCTTTATGTCCGTGGAGCCCATGTTTACGGCAGCGGCGCGATCCTTGTCGGTGTATACTTCCTCTTGCCGGTGACAGTCATCTTGTTGGCGTCATTTTCTCCGGGTCTTTTGAATCCTCATCTCTGACTCCATGGTGGCGACGTCGAGTCTCTTCTTTTCCTTTTTGTCGTTGTTCTTTTTCTTCTTACCGTGCGCATTGTGAGCATTACTTTTACGAGTGTTATCGTCACCACTATCACTCAGCGTCGCGTATTTACTTAGGTGTGTGTCCTTGTTCGGCTCCTCGAACTCCTCCTGATCCTTCTTCGAGTCAGAGCCGGTCTCTGTGCGTATTCGCACGTAACTCTGCAGCAGATCGTGGTGATGTAGCGTGGGATTCAGGATGTCCATAACGTGGTACTCGATCGCGGCGCTTGTACACGCTTCATCTTTGGCGGTCGCCTGCGGTGTCTCGTTCATTCTCAGCCGTCAACTTTATCAATGTTACATTCGACTGAATTCGAGTGCTTTACGTTTACGATAGATAAAACTTTACCGATTTACTTGGTAAATGACCCTTCTCCTCATTACCTCTTTGTGCGTTACCACTTTCCGCAAAATTTGTAAGAAAGGAGGAATTTTTACGGTAGAAGAATTCCGAGCGATAGGTATTTCGTTCTACGTGCTAAGATACGTGTGGTTGTCAACACCTAGGTGGCTTGTTTCCTTAGAAACGGGTAACAACAGCCAAATTCTCAGCACAGGACAAGTACAGTAAATATCTGCTCCCGAAATATCAAGTATGCATGCATAATCGAATAGTATATTACATCTTAATTTCGATCCTTCCGGAATAGGCGATCCCAACAATTTTTGCACCATGAGGCACGTAGCATCTTGAATCTGAGATGTGATAATGATTCAGGTGTTGTATAATTTAGAAGGATTCCGATGAGATACCTTTATGTTCATCGAGGAAATTTGAATCGGAAAGCCCGCCTCGAAAGAGTCGAAGCATACAATTCGTAAACATTTTTATGCGATCATCAGTTATTCGATAAAATAATTGAGGTAATAAAGTTTTATATTCTCTATGTTCGTCATCAAATCAAATTGTTCCTTTTCAAAGATCTTTCATGAGTTTGTTAACGTTCCTTCTTGTATTTTATGTGCGTGTGCATCCCTCCTACAGCCTTCATTTGTTTTATTACAAGTGCGATATGAACGTCTGAGAAACGTTCTTTAACAATGTTCTAAGTTGTCGCATTGTCCGAATATCACGCATGCATTTAATTAAATCTTATTTACGTAGCAACTTCCCAGAGAGAAATGGGAAATCGAATAGACGTCGATTCGACGTCTTTTAGACGTCATCGACGGCTAATCGATGTCGATTCGATGTCTATTCGACTCTTATTTCTTCTTGGGTTGTGTTCTTTTTGATAACATTAAGAAACAATCGCGAATATTTCGCTACTGTTGCAGAAATGTATCATGACGAAACTTACTTGATTGTAGAGTGATATGGCCTTGTTATAATTTCCATTCTTCATATGAACAGTCGCTTCGTTCACCAGCAGCGCGTTTCGTACAAGAATGGAAGATCGCCTTATTCGTTGCGCTGATTTTCCTTTCATGATATACCATATCGTTCCGATATTTATGATATCTGTTCTAATGTTAAAATATAGAAACGACTTTGTATTAGTGGAAGAAATATTTCTGCACTCCATCTCTGCGAAATAGTTTTTCATATGAAAGTGCGGATAATAAGTATCAGCGTGTAAATTCATACAGAAAATGTTACTTGCTACACGAAAATTAAGACGAAGATATTAATTTTGTGACCAAGTAAACTTAACAATTTTAAATTCATGTCGACGTACTTAGGAGGAATCGGGAACTCAGTTCACTGCAAAATCGATCTATTCCGTTTAAATTTCACATTTTCTCGAGAAAGCACAAAATGCGTACTTACAATCATGTATCGTCGCTTGTAACTGTGAATCAGATGCGATCGATTTGAATAGCGATAATTATTCGTGTTTCTTCGTTTGGTCAAGAGCTCAGGGAGATGGCTGGAGATCGCGAATGAACGTACTGATGAGCCGCTACGTTGCGACAAAATGCACAACGGTCGGTCGTTTCAATCGCGTCGCAAGCTGCTGACTCTTAAATTCTTAACTTACGACCAGAACTTTTATATCCATATTTTTCATCCTGTCTCCCTACCTACGGCATTAAAAAGTAATCAATAGGGAAGCGACAGAATAGAAGAGGGTATAAGCAGGATGACTACACGACAATTCTTATCGTTCGCCTACCTGCTACACTGCACTTTCGCTAACGATCGCTAACGGAGAAACTATTAAATGACCCGTATGCTTTCGTGAACGTTTCCTATCAATTCATTGCCGTCGTCCTTGCTCGATTATTTGTGTTGTTTGGCGGAGATGCATGCGACCTTTATATCGATCAATTTTCAATATTATTTCCTCGAGATTATTATTAGTTTTTTGAAGGTGAAAGAGGACGATTCGTTTTCCCGTATATGATTATTATCCCGTATATCATTATCACTGTAGCGACATTTTTTCATTATACAATCAAGTGTCTTGAAGCGAAACGAAATAAACAAAAACAAAGCTCGTTTTTAAGTATTAACACTTAATCATTAAACGTTTCGCACGTAAAACTATTAATTACCACGAAGAATTTTGACTAAAGTTTTGTCAAGGTTTGCGGAGAAACTTGCGTCGAGCAAATCGCAATATAATCCGCGCATTGAGAGAAACCAGCCAGAACTGAAAACAGGAAATAATATGCGAGCCACAGATAATTATTAGAACTACAAACACGGAACATTCCGTGACCCACGGATAATGTGCCAAATCGATGATGTCGCGTTTCAATCGTATTATTTGTCCTCGACAAGACTTCTTTGAGACCTATATTGATTCCTTGTTTTAATGAGATACACCGATGCACGTCTACAGTCTCTAAAAGCAGGCATATAGCTCGAACCTTTTTAAAATATTTTTAGTGAACTTAGCTGTTTAAGTAATTTCTATTCCATAAAAAAAACAATTATAAAAAGTAATATTGCTGTCCTTGAATTATTTTAATAGTTGTAACAATTAATGATAGATACACAGATATAATATTGCCATATATTATATCAAAGTATTTTTTCTTTCGTCATCTGAAGATACTTATAACGTCGAGCATATTGTTTGTATCCTTTTTCTCTTATATGTTAATTTTAAAATATTTGTACATTATACTTCATATATAAATATAAATTATGTAGACAAAAATGAAAAATGATATCCATGCTTATAACTAGCTCTTGCCTATCTAACATTATTTACACTAATTTGTAATCTTACGTGTAATCATTACTTTTAATTATATTTAACAACAAGTATTAATTTCTTCTGTCTGTAGAATACACCTAGGTGCCTCCAGATCAGTCCTCGGTCTACGGAATAATAGAACATGTGGCTCTAAAAAGAAAAGGATTAAATTTGTACTTATGTAATATTATTCTTGTGATAGTTATATTTATCAATGTATATATACCTGGTCCATGCATCATATAATGGACCCATCCGGGACTCTGTTGAACTCCTAAATTTCTCCACTCAGTTTCTGTCATGAGATGAGTCTTTGGGACATGCCTGGCTATATCTTGTGGTAATATCACATGCCTATATATATATATATATATATATTAAATCAAATTGTATGTGTATATATATATATACACACACACACATACAATTTGATTTAATTTAATATACTTGACATAGTTTAATATATTTTATATTAGTTTTATATTACAATAGTTTCATTTTTAAGAATTAATTTACATTTAAGAATTAATTTACATTTAAGAATTAATTTACATTTTCTTTATTACAGTACTTTAAATTTGGAGTTAAGATCATTTCTTCAAATATTACTTCTATATATCTAAAAAAAGAAAAATTTAGCTCTAACTGTTATATATGCTATTTATTTTTAAAAGTCCTATTGCTAACTCTTTAAATACTAAACATAATTTCCACAATGAACTTCTACAATTTGTAAAAAAATATCTATATATACATGACAAATTGCTATATATATATATATATAAGAAATTAATTAAAATTAAAAAAAAATATATAATTAAACTATACCTGTATTCATATTTATCATCATTATATTTTTCAGAATATTGAATCTGATCCACTGGCATTTTGTTTTAGAGTAAGAAAAAAAACAAAACTGAAAAACAAAAAAATTGATTCACATAAGAAAAATAAATAATACCATTTATGTTAAAACCAATTACAAAGAAAAATTTAATAATTAAAACACATTAATTAACATGTTAAACAAAAAAATAATGCAAAGATATAAATATAATTTATTTGTATATTATATAGAAACAAAGTATATATTACATTAGATGTAGTTACCAATGTAATAAATTTAATATCTATTTTATATACATACATATATACACACACACACATACATACACATATATACACATATATGATTAGAGTAATATATAAGTATGTATATAAATATAATTAGGAAAATTTTATCTATTATTATTGATTTTAATGATAAGACTAACCTAAAAAGTAACTTTTCTTATACCAATGGTTGATTAATTTTTATAACTGCTTTCTGTACACCAGTTACTTAACGTAATTACAAAGTAATTTGTAAACCAATTAATTAGCAAAAAAATTACAATTAAAATCCAACACAAAAAAGATTTATACGTTATGAATTAGAAAGCGAGTTTACCTGTTGAGTAACGAACTATTGTACGTTACATACAATCACATGTCAAACGTAATATGAAACTAAAGCCAGAGGCACACGGTACTTGTTTTTATGCTGGATTGCTTGCTGCATGAAAATACTGCGCTCTGATTGGTGCATTTCCATTCATCTTCGGAAATGTACCAATCAGAACGCAGTATTTTCATCCAGGAAGCAATCCAGCACGAAAACAAGCACCGTATGCTGGCTTTAAATTCTGATGTTTCTGTTAAGCCAGCGGCACATGGTACTCGTTTTCGTGCTGGATTGCTTGCTGTATGAAAATACTGCGTTCTGATTGGTGCATTTCAGAAGATGGATGGAAATGCACCAATCAGGACGCAGTATTTTCATTCAGCAAGCAATCCAGCATAAAAACAAGCACCGTGTGCCGCTGGCTTTACAACCAGAGAGAAACCTGAGAGCGGCCAACACATCTTCTGCGACACCGACTTTCCGCACTGGGAAAGGACGCCATCTACATCCATTTTGAGAGGGGAATTACGATAGTACATCTTTCCGAGACTTTCAGGTCTCGGTGGTAAAATCTGCATGTGGTGGAAGTCCGTGCTACATCCATTTTCAAGCGGTTTATGTCCGTGCTACAACCATAATAGCGTGCTTGACAAGCACGGTCTCGCATATTGTTACGCGTTTATAACATAAATTAACATGTTAACATGTGCAACAAAAAGAAGAATTGACATTGTGTATGATTAATTTCATGAAGATCATACGAAATATCCGGTAATTAGCTGCCAACCCGAAGTGTGAAGGTAGATTGGGTTAAGACAAATATAAAAGTCCGATATCATCTTGCGAGATTCGCAATAATTATCGAGTTATTAATGACAGAAATTTGAGGAGTAAAAGCGCGCCGACATAGATGATTCGAAAAGCGTTGCAGCTGCTCGGGGCAGCGATCATGAATCTTTTCCCTAGCGTGATAAAAAGTGAAAGACTTCTGTGAATCAGTGAAAAATGAAAAATTTTATATGAATTTGTGAAAATCGAAACATTTCACACGACAATTGAGTCGTTCAACATGGCAGTTGCGCGTTCTGGATAATTCAATGAATACCAAAGAAATCAAAATGATCAAAATAATAACGTCCATGTAGTACGAAGGATATTACATGACACGCAAAATCCGTTAGATATAATATCCAAAGTAAATGTTTCAAAATATGTATGTACAGGTAATATAAACCTTATGCACCAACGAGATATACTACAAAGACTGATGGCCTTACGGGATTTAGCGTACCAAAGAAATTTCCCTGATGAGGCACCCGGGTGAAAGAAACCGTCTCGCATTTAGCGCAGTAAAATTTAATGGGTACTAATATTTTTCAATCCTTTTCTTCGAATCAAAAACATTCAGAATTCAGACATATTCAAAATGTCAATACTTTTTAATACGTTTCAATTCGACATTTTATACAGGGAAGCAGGACGAAGGGAATGAGATACAACGGGCAGGCAACGATACATCATGCGTCTTCAGATGTGTCAAATCGTTTATTATACAGGAGACTTTGATACGGCAACATTCGAATATTTAATCGTCCTATGGACCACATATATAATAAAAAAAAAATTAACGCGGATAAATGAACGACTCGTATCAATTTTTCCTTTCCATATAGAGCAATGAAAGAGTAAATCAGTATCGAAAATCGAATAATGATTAATATCATAAATCAGTGTCAGAAAATTGTCCAATGACAATTTGTTCTCATTTTTCAGGTAGTTACCGCTATAATTTACACAACAAATTAACTCGGTTAAACGGACGATTCGTACCAATTTTTCTTCTCTTATAAAGAAATGAGAGAATAAATCATGACCAAAAATCGAAGGACGATCAATACCTAATTTATTTATCAAATTAACGCGGATTAATGGACGATTCGTATGAATTTTCTTTCCTTACAGAGAAATGAAAGAGTAAATCAGTAGCGAAAATCGAATATCGATCAATACCGTAAATCAGAGTCAGAAAATTGTCCAAGTACAATGACAATTTGTTCTCATTTCTCACGTATTTATCCCTCTAATTTACTCAACAAATTAACTCGAATAAACGAATGATTCGTATCAATTTTTCTTGTCTTATAAAGAAATGAGAGAATAAATCAGTACCGAAATCGAAGACCGATCAATATCTAACTTATTCATCAAATTAACTCGGATAAACGAACGATCCGTATAAATTTTTCTCTTCTTATGGAAAAATGAAAGAGTAAATCAGTACCGAAAATCGAATATCGATCAATACCGTAAATCAGAGTCAGAAAATTGTCCACGTGCAATTACAATTTGTTCTTATTCTTTAGGTACTTGGCCCTCTAATTTACTCAACAAATTAACTTGAATAAACGAATGACTCGTATCAATTTTTCTTCTCTTATAAAGAAATGAAAGAATAAATCAGTACCGAAAATTGAAGACCGTGCAATATTTAATTTTTTCATTAAATTAACGCGGATAAATGAACAATTCGTCTGAATTTTTTCTTTTCTTATAGAAAAATGAAAGGAGAAATCAGTACCGAAAATCGAATACTTATCAATACCATAAATCAGTGTCAGAAGATTGTCCAAGTGCAATGACAATTCGTTCTCATTTATCAGGTACTTACTCCTCTAATTTATTCAACAGATTAACTCGGATATATAAACGAACGATTCGTATTAATTTTTTCTCCTGTTATAGAGAAATCAGAAAGTAAATCAGTACCGGAAATCGAATATCGATTAATATCGTAAATCAAAATTTATATTGCTGGTTAATTCCATCGTCGCAAAAGATTTGACGTTTTCTCTATCCTAGTCCTAACTTATAGAAAATTTGGTACTCATCTCTATTTGACAAAAGTACGTCGGACTTTCTGTACTAATATAAAAAATTTTTTTTTCCTTCTTATTTTTTCTGCGTCTAATATTTTAATACCGAATCTGTCGAAATGAGCCGGTCTACAGAAATCCTGGCAAGACGTTTCTCTCTCTTTCTCGCACTCCTCTCTCTTCGTCTCTGAATCGCCGCTAACGATCGAAAACCGTAAGCGGAAAGTAACGAAAATTTATTCATCCAACTAAAACGTTCTCCGTGTTATTTTTTAAGCGTTGGATAAATACCGATCCGGCGTTTTGTCAAATATCTAACAAAAGTATCTCCGTTTTTTCTTGCCGACATTCAAATCGATGGTTTTCTACAAGTTAAGATTTGATAAAAAAAAGTCTTTCCCGAGTCGAAATATTAATTCTACATTGATCCTGCAAATTGCATCTAATTTGAAAAATCAATGCAGAATATCTAGATGCGCAATAGTGAACAAGCTTTTTCCTACCTGAACGTTACATCTGGCTACTCTCGCAGTCTCCCATGATGAGTCTTCAACAGCGACGTATTCCGCAGTTATTTAATACTCTATCTCGATAATGTATATGTACTTAATCCCTATATTCTTAATTTAAATGAGCAATTTTTGTTGATGTTGATTATATATTCGCTTAACAGCGCAAGAAAGAGAACAAAGATAAAAACATAAATAGAATTGCCTTTGTTAGAACTGCGCGTGAGATAAATATATAAGGATTAAATAATTATATAAGAATTAGAAGAAATGGGAGATGAAAAACACTTTTTATTCTCATCATTTTTAAAGTTCTTTTTTCCTTTCTTCTTCTCTTTTTTTTTTCTTTTTTCTAATGAGAAGGGAACAGAAAGCTACTACGTCCTCGTCGTTGTTCCTGGGTAACGTTAAAAGTAGTTTCTCGGAAAAATTCAACGCTATCTATCACGAATGAAAAAAATTGTTTCCATAAAAACTTCACGTAAAATCTAATTCTGCAATGAAAAATGTGGGTTCTCATTTGAGATTTGAACGTTACCACTCTATCCCGAGGGGATGGGGGGGAATAACTGTTATTATGTTTTTTAAAAATATTTTTAAAAATATTGAACAAGTATTTTTTTATTTTTCAATCCAATGATCATTTCTGGAGAATTGCAGAAAATCAAATTTTTTGCGGTTACAGCGCCATCTATCACGAATAAAAAAAAAAGTTTCGGACGAAACTTACGTATTTTGTGGCGTAGAATCCGAATCTGCAATAAAAAAATGGGGGTTCCCATTTAAGATTTCAAAGATGTCCCCCACCCCCACCCCCCGGGAGTGGGGTGGGAGGTCAAGTTTGATATCATTGGATGTCCCCCTTCGAAACGAACAAATTTCATTACCCACTTTTTTTGATCCAACATGTAGTTTTCCAGATATTACAATTTGTCAGGTTAAATGGGACACCCTGTATAACTCCGAAGCTGGAAAAAGGTCGTCGAAAGATCGTCGTGCGAATGGAAGCAAGAAAAGATATCTTTGTCGTTCTCTATCGAACCTTATCTTGAGTGCATTGAGCGATGTAGTTGTACTATTTGTTATTTCAATATATCTTTATTATATAGTAGCGCATGCGTTTTTATGAATTTCCTCAATACTGGCCCACCTAAACCGTTGAAACGAGTTATAATAAAAATCTTACACATTTCAGCGCGCGCTCATTCGTTAGATTTCTGTAATTAATAACTCGATAATTATTGCGAATCTTGCAAAATAATATGGGACTTTTATGTTTGTTTTAAACCAATCTACCTTCCCAGTTCGGCTTAGCAGCTTATTACCGGACAGTTATATATTTAATTTAAACATAATATTATATTAATATATTAAAATATTTTATGGGTAGTGCGTATTTTTTCATAAAATTTTTTATAACTATGTAATACTAGTGTATGCATATGTTTGTTGTAATAAATATAATGTTGTAATAAATATAATGTTATTTAATATTATAATCATTATTAGTATCGATGTTTAATTTGAATTTATTGTATTAATGTATTCGAAGATTTAACTTTCTAAGTCCGTGAGATGACTATAGTCATCGCTACATATACTTCTCAGAAAGCCGTGCAATGCTTTAAAGCATCGCGAAGTTATTTGCGAAGATTTTCATTAAGCAATATATATTTTTCTTTATCTTTTTATTTCAGTATTTAAGTTTTTATGTATAATTTTGTTTTATATAAAGAATATGCTCGACTTGCTGGGAATTAGAGTTAAGGAAAAATTCGTCCGCAAAGGGTTAATATTTAATACGTACTTTTATTTTTCCTGCTCCTCCTCCCTCTCCCCTTCTATTTAGACCTTCGGGCATAGTCTGGCATAGAGATGGTAACTGTGATTGCAGCACGGACATAAACCGCCTGAAAATGGATGTAGCACGGACTTCTACCACATGCAGATTTTACCACCGAGACCTAAAAGTGGATGTAGCATCGTAATTCCTCTCTCAAATGGATGCAGATGGCGTCCTTTCCCAGTGCGGAAAGTCGGTGTTGCAGAAAATGCCGTGTTGGCCGCTTTGGTTGGAATTGTTGGAAGATTCTCTAAAATATGTTGGCGACTCTGACTCTAGACAATCTATATTTGTCCATTTTTGCTATGCGTTAATGGTGGTGTGTATTATTATTATATTTATATGATAGCGTGGTGAAACAGTAAAAAATTTTTGTAACACTTTCGTTAAATTAAATTTAACGACGAGATGGGTGTACCAGCATTTTTTCGATGGTTAAGTCGAAAATATCCCTCTGTAATTGTCGAATGCATCGAGCAGAAGGTATATTAGGTTAATTTTTATAAATTTCTTTTATATCAATATACATCGAATTATACCACATGTTTCTTAGATTTTTTAAACTTGATCTTTCCAAAGTGAAAAATAATATACTATATATTTACGTATTATGATTCTTTTTATTATGTGTAAATATATAAACTTGGCAAGAAATCCATGTGATCAGCATTTTGATACTTTGTAGCCAGTAAATGCAGATGGAGTATGTATTCCTGTAAATTCTGCAGATCCAAACCCAAATGGAGTAGAATTTGACAATCTTTATCTTGATATGAATGGTATAATACATCCTTGTACACATCCAGAAGATAAGTAAGTATGAAGCTTTATGAAGGATGATTTACAAGATATTTATCATCTTTTAATGCAATACTATAAAGATCTATTATTATTGCCTTTTTCATATAGGCCAGCACCTAAAGATGAAGATGAAATGATGGAAGCTATTTTTGAATGTATTGACCGATTATTTCGTATTGTTAGACCAAGGAAATTGCTTTATATGGCAATTGATGGAGTTGTAAGTATTATTACATAATACTATTATCATATAATATAATAAGTGTTTATATTTCAGAAAAATTAGATAAAACATTTAACTACGATATATAATTTAATTAATACATAAATAATACATAAATAATTAAATAATAAATTTAATTAACTACGATATATAATTTACATATATATAATTTTTTATTATACAGGCACCCAGAGCTAAAATGAATCAACAAAGATCCCGACGATTTCGAGCATCAAAAGAAACAACAGAAAAAATTGACGAAATACAAAGAATACGTACTGAATTGTCACTCAAAGGTGCATCTTTACCTCCTGAAAAACCAAAGGAAGCACATTTCGACAGCAATTGTATCACACCGGTATGTAATAACAATAAACTATAGTCAAACATGTTTAACACATCACTCAATAAGTTCGTAGGATGACATATAAATGGCGTTACTATTGACAAAACCTAACCGCTGTAACTTGTGAACTAAACGTCCGATTGTCATGAAATTTTGACACGTATCATTTGAAGGTTAGTACTTCCTAAAAATCATATGGATATGTCAATAGTAGCGCCATTTATATGTCATCCTACGAACTTATTGAGTGATGTGTTATATATATAAATATTTAATTATAACAATTTATTTAAGTTAATTGAAGTTGCATACTTTTTTTTTCTTTTTGTAACGGGGGAATCCTCATGGATACTCCCACCCCTTGGGGGAGTGAAGATTATGTCAGACTCTTACCGACTAAAACCCCACCAGGGTGTCTACCAGCTGGGCCAGAGTGGGGGAGCTGAGGGAACTACGTCGGTATTCCCTCCCCAGCACCCCCTCCCGGCCCTGGGGCTCGGTTATTGAGCCCCTCGCGCATAAAATTGCATACTATTTATACAAACATTAAAAATTTCATGTTTCAGGGCACGCCATTTATGTCAAGATTATCAGCATGCTTGCATTACTATATTCATGAACGTTTGAACAATGACCCAGGTTGGAGGAATATTAAAATAATATTAAGTGACGCCAATGTACCTGGTGAAGGAGAACATAAAATAATGGATTTTATACGACGGCAAAGATGTACGTTTTTATGCTTATACAATACTGTTTTGAATATGACCATAGTGATATATTATAAATATATCTTGCTTATTTTTTATAGCGCAACCTGATCATGACCCTAATACACAACATGTTCTATGTGGAGCGGATGCAGATTTAATTATGTTGGGTCTCGCAACTCACGAACCTAACTTTACCATTATTCGTGAAGAATTCAAACCAAATAAACCAAAACCGTGCGATATATGTGGCCAACTGGGGCATGAAATGAGAGATTGTACTGGTGCGGAACCGAATCAGAAAGAAGAGGAAAATGCATACGGATCCGAGTGTCAGTTTATATTCGTCCGTTTAAATGTTCTCCGAGAGTATTTAGAAAGAGAGTTGTCTATGCCGAATCTACCGTTCAAATATGATTTTGAACGAGCTGTCGATGACTGGGTGTTTATGTGTTTCTTCGTAGGAAATGATTTTCTACCTCATCTTCCTTCTTTAGAAATCAGAGAAGGTGCAATCGACAGGCTCGTTACTTTGTATAAGAAAGCAGTGTATAAGACTGGAGTGCGTATTTTCTAGACAAAATCACATAGCATAACAAGATAGCAAAATATAATTATTTTGAATTATTTTTACAGGGCTTTTTGACAGACAGTGGAGATGTTAATTTAGATCGTGTACAATTGATAATGTCAGATCTTGGTGATGTTGAAGATGAGATTTTTAAGAAAAGACAAGAAAATGAACTGGCTTTCAAGCAACGTGAGAAAGATAAAAAAAGGAGACATGAAATTATCAGTAATTTTAAGCCAAAATGGATTCCTGCGGGACAATTTGCACCTACTGTAAGATTTTCTAAATGCTTTTACATCGTTGTTGCATTATATATTGACTTTAGTTTGAATGATCATGTAATGCATATTAATTATTATCAATTCTTGCAGGCCCTTGGGCAAGCAGTGAAACCTATAGAAAATGCACGTTATGAAGCTTATCAAATGCGTGTACAAGGTAGAAATTATAACACGAATGTTGCGGAGAATAAGAATGCTAATCATGCTTTAGAAAGCATGTTACGGCCTGAGGTATTATAACTTTAACTTTTTCGTATATGATATTATTATACGGATTTTCTCTTTTATTTATATTCTATAAAAATAAATGTTAATTAAACGGTTCAATATATATAGTCACAAACGATTTTTATCATACATATAATAACTAACTTTTTGCAATATAATACATATAATTTTTGAAATATTTTAAATAATGACAATCACACTATTGATCTACTATATACTTAAAATAACATTTAAAATTTAAACTAACGTTTTTACATAACACGTTATACAGAACACTAGTAACAAAGGACAGAAACGTAAAATTGAGAGTGTTGATCCTGAGTCAGATGATGAACAGGCGCACGACGAAGTGCGTCTTTGGGAGGATGGTTTTAAAGATCGATATTATGAATCAAAATTTGGCGTATCTCCTGATAATCTTGCATTTAGGTAATAACAATTTAATTATTTAATTATTTTAATAATATTCACAGATCTTATTAGTTTCCTACTTATTCATATTCTTACGAATATGATAATTTTATAGCATTGCAATGAAAATGATAAAACAAATTTTTTTTTAAAGATAAATTAACATTTATATGTATGTGTGTATATATATATAAATATCTATTGTACTCGTTTGCTTATGCAGAAATAACGTTGCTTTACAATACGTGCAAGGATTGTGCTGGGTCTTGCGATATTATTATCAAGGCTGTGCTTCGTGGAGATGGTATTTTCCATACCATTATGCACCATTCGCAAGTGATTTTATTAATATTGGCGGTCTTTCTACAGAATTTGAAAAAGGAACTATACCGGTAAGTGTAAAAAATCTTATAAAGATTATTAAATAAATCTACTGACTTGTAATTATAGTTCTACATAGATATACACTCATACCATGATCTAATATTATTTTGCAGTTTCGTCCGTTAGAACAATTAATGGCCGTTTTTCCTGCAGCTAGTAGCAAACATGTGCCTGTACCATGGGCAAAGTTAATGAGTGATCCGGTATGTATATATTTATAATATGGGCTAAAAATTTTAAATATTAAAAAATTATATTAAAATAATAAATTAAAAAAAAAAGCTTGTACCTTTATCCTTTAATTTTAGTACTTGTATAGATAAGACCATTAGAAGTTTCTCCGTTTCAATGTCATTTTATCAATTTTTTTTTTTTTTTTTTTTTCAGAGATCTTCAATTATTGACTTTTACCCAGAAGATTTTAAGATCGATTTGAATGGAAAGAAATTTGCTTGGCAAGGCGTAGCTTTGCTCCCTTTTGTCGATGAGCAAAGGTTATTCAAGGCTCTGGCGTCATATTATGACAGTCTAACAGAAGCAGAAAGTAAGTGATACAAGCATTTTTTTATATTGATGTATCATGTCGCGTAACTATAAAATTTTCTTTCAGCCACAGATCTTTTAAAAAAGTTAGAGTGAGCTCTTTTTAGCCGGAAATTGGCCGAAAAAAGTTTCACATGGGAACTATTAAAAGCATTGTAGCTCTTCTGGGAATACAGTATTATTAAAATCAATTCTTTCGGTAATATACTAGAATGAAAGAAGATATTACGTCGTTGTTTGTGCTATGAACACTGCTCAGGACACATATATGTTTATAAGACACGTATATATTTATAAGAAAAAAAAAGAAAACTTGAGCATAACGTTTATAGTTCAACGACTTGCGGATAATATTGTAAATTAGAATTCAGTCATTATGTCATGTACTTTAACAGTATATAAAACATTCGAAACTTTATCATTGAGATATTCGAGCGAATACAAAGAGACAAAGAAAATCAAACGAACCATCTAGATATTGGTTTCCATCTAACAGTAGAATCTGTGGCGAAAGAAAAATGACGCTAATGGTTTTCGAATATTGTACGTATGCTGAATTAACGTGAATATTTATATTAATGACGCATTTTCGTTTTCAGAGAAGAGAAATGTTCGCGGCGATGACAGGCTATATGTTGGAATGGGAAATACCGGTTATAATTATATAAAAAAAACATATATAGATCGTGTTGAATTTGATAAGGAACTTGATATAAGAATAGACGGTATGCGAGGTACCATATTCTTGTCAGAAGATTGTGTGAGTGAAGGAGGCACGTTACCCTCGCCTGTCAGGGGTTTACCAGTCAGAAACAATAAAGTATATTGGTAAATATTTGTTCTTTTGCTAGACTTGTATATACATACACAAAAGGATATAAAACTAATATTGCGTAACATTTCTCCCTCGATTTATAGCGTGAAATTCAAGGATCCACAATATAGTAGTAGCCATATTTTTCCTGCTTGCAAGCTGAAAGGAGCTAAAGAACCGTCACGTGTTCTTAAACCACAAGATTTTGATGCTATGAATCGTGACACTAGGAACCAGTGGAAGCCACAAATTGGTTTCACTCGAACTACGCAGTCTGCTTCATTAGGACAGGCAGGACACAGAATGCTCGAGTACGTACCATCATTCGTCACTGCAGCCAGCTATATAGCAATTGTTTTTTTTTTTTCTTTAATATTTTGATAGGAGCACAAAATATAAAATCTTTAACTTATAAAAAATAATTTAGCAAAAGTAAACGAAGACCTGCAGTTATTAAATTAATAATGTGTTATACTAAAATAATGAAAATATTTATAAGAATTAAAGAAAAACGAAGCATTCTTTGAAGCATTATCTTCAAATGAAATATATCGCTATTGTGTTGAAACAAACGGTTACGAACAAGACAGAGCATTTGATTAGACAATCTTTCTGCTTGCAGACGATATACGAACCACAATCGATCGGCGCCATTTGTGAACATTCCACCACCAATCAATTTATATCAGCCGCAGTTTCATCATGGTAAGTCATTCTATGTTTACATGTTATATATTTACATGCACGCAACTCTCATTAAGAATCAACGTCATGTCCAACATTCCGGATTATGAAATACGAGGATTACTGAATAAACGAAAATATGAGTGTTCTTAACTGTTTCTCTAGTACAAGGTCCTCCATTATCCAAATTGATAGGGAGACATGAATGTCCAGATACACAAGATTAAAACGCTCATTTTTCTAATATAGAACTTTATTTTAAGAAGGACGATCTAAATCAAACGTTGACAATTTATTTACAAGTATACACATCTTGCATCTGATCAGTCACGCAGATTTGTTTCGCTTTAGAAGAAGAATTTAGAATTATTTTTATTCTAAATCTGAAAATATTTGCTGCAATACTGGTCAAATTGTGGAGAATCGTCGCCTATTATGTAGAAATTTATCATTCCTACGACGACCGATACGTTATTTTGTTTGATGAATTTTGTGATTCGGTGATGTGAGATCAGGACTGATGTATCGATCAATGACAGGGTCGTTGAGACTTTCGTCGGCGCATAGGTGGTGCTCGGAACGTGTTTACGCTGAAGGAACAGGGCGCGAGGGTGGAAGGGATTGAATTGGAGGGTCGGAGAGGGCTCGCGCGCAGCGACCCTAACGGAATAGCGTTTCGCAATCAGTCAGTCAGTCAGTCAGTCAATTGTTTTCTAACTGAGACCGGTTCCTCTCCTACTTGGTTCATCTCCCCTTGCAATCATCCCTCCCACTACCCTTGTCGTTCCAACAATACCGAGACTAGAAGAGTCGGATTAAGCCTCACCTCCAGTTATGGTGTTGAGCGAATTCGGGTACTCGTTTTTCTTTTGGTCGTTTACACGCATTGAAAGGACACATACGTCCTCCCCTATGACGTCATGCACGGTCAACGGCCTTTACGGCCAGGCTGCCAAATGGTAGAAAGCGAAAAAAGAAGCAAATTTTTGGAGGATACGTCGAGTATCAGTCATGTCTCTTCGTTTTCTTTCCCCGGTTCTCGCATGGAAGCGCAAAGGTAGCGCGACTCGCGTCATGTCCCGTACTTCGTGTTACGGAAGTGAGTCCGTGGGTTGGTGGACACGAGCGGTGGTGAATCGACTTGTCGCGGGGGCGATGCTGACGCGGGGAAGGTTCGTCGAGAGCACGAGCCGGCGGCGGCGGCGGCGGCGGCAGCGGCGGCGGTGGTAGGAGATAGGAGGGAGAAGGGAGCAAGGGAGGAAGAGGAAGGACCACGAAGCCGAGGGGGCTCTCGTTCGGGATTAGCTCCGGGGGTAGTTTGTCACGTAGAGCGTGACTCCGGCCGTTTTGTTGTTTGGCACGTCGAGGCAGCGGCGGACGGTTCCCCGGTTTCGCCCAATTATAAAACAAACGCGGCGCACTCCGTAATTATCCAATTAGCAGACGCACGGCCTACCACCCCGCGCGGTCTCTCTCGTACGTCACGTTTCTCTCGCCCCCTCTCGCCAGCCTCGACTCCTCATCCATCTCTTTCCGCACTCCTGCCTCCTCGTCGCATGCGTTTGCTCGCGGCACAAAAGCGAACACGACGATCACTTTGTACCGACGACTTTGTCGTTCGTCGTGACTCCATTGTCGTCGCGATTCACCCAGCCGCTTCTTTGCACACGCCTTGTTGAACGAGCGTATGAGCGCGGAGGATCCGGTGATCTTCGCGCCGCGCGATGTAGAATGCCGCTGCATCTCTTGATCGATACGAGAACAAATCGGGCTCGCACGTCACTTCAGAACAGGCGGAGTCGAATGTGCGCGAAGAGATATTTAATAGACTTGCTTTCTGACTATTTGAAGAGTTGACATTTATTGGCGAACAGTCTTTCTCTATTCTTTTCATAGATCGTTCGCATTCAACGCTGAGTGCCTCGACTGAGGGATTTTTTCAATTGAGCTTTTTGCAGTTGAGCCTTTTCCGATTCACTTTCGAAATAACGAAGTTTATTATTTATTCCTCGTCCGGTATGGACGACTGGCTTCGTATGACTCCATGTGACTCGATCTTTTTCTTGCAATTGTTTGCTCTTCTCTTGTGTAATAATTATTTTATTATTGTTATTTAAAGTTCTCATCATTAAATTATATATATATATGTGTATATACATATATATATGCACGCACAATGGACTCATTATACGTGTTATATTTTATTCCTATGTTTCATTGTTATACTCGACCCCAGTGGTCGGTCGCGCGCCTTTATGCGCGGGCATAAAAACAAAACGTTATATGGAGTACGACGGAGTCTCGTGTGTGATTGATTTACCGAGGGGAGTAAACGCCACGCACAGACAAAAGCGAACCCTCGTCGTGAGAGCAAGTGTCGAGGATACGAAATGATCTTTCTGTGAAGAACGCGAAAAGCTCGTGCTCGCTGCCGACGGACGTTCTCGTCGCGCGGCTCTTGCATTTTATTTATTAGCTTGAGAAGATCCCGCGAAATCGACAGTATTTGGTCTCAATCACACGACCTGAGTCGTTCATCCGAACTGTAAGATCCCATCTGGCTTGGATGATCATATGCAATTATAATCCATCTTGTTTCGCACACACGATGTGAGATGTCGCATCATACGCAATATTACACGACATCGCATATTACGTACAACCTTACAATGCAATTAATTATGCATTATGCGTAAATTAACGAGACGCGTCGGCGTGATAATGCTGGCCGACGGTGACTGACACGCCGGCATTCAACGTGTCAAAGGTCCATCCGACGAGAGATAAGAATTATTCCCTCTCGCTCGTAGATAGGTTCCTTATGCCGGCAGCGCTACAGGTGTAAGCGTGCTCACATTTTGCATTATTAACCCGGTATGCGCAACCGACGCGATGCTGCACGAGGCAGCAAGGCGTGGCGGGGTGAGGCAAGGTGAAGTGAGGTGAGGCGAGACGAGGGGAAGCGAGGTGAGGGCGAGCGCGAGTAAACAAGTAAACGGTATTTCCGCCGGGAGGGATGAAGCTCGACCGAGAGGGAGGAGGTTACACTTTGTTCGTTCGTCCATCTCCGCGTCCAGATGACAGGTGCAGGGACCCCTCGTTAGACAAATTAAGCAACCTTTCTGGCCTCGGTGCTGTCGGTGGTATATCTTCGTCTACTTTCATCTCTGTCCACCCTCTCTCTCTCTCTCTCTCTCTCTCTCTCTCTCTCTCTCTCTCTCTCTCTCTCTCTCTCTCTCTCTCTCTCTCTCTCTCTCTCTCTCTCTCTCTCTCTCTCTCTCTCTCTCTCTCTCTCTCTCTCTCTCTCTCTCTATCTCTCTCTCTCTCTCTCTCTCTCTCTTCCCCTCTATCTCTCTCTCTTCCCCTCTATCTCTCCACACGCGCGCACACGCGTTCGTGTTCGTCCGGGACAGGTTTCGAGTGGACTGCAAACACTCGTATAGCAGCAGCAGCAGCAGCAGCAGCGGCGGCGGCGGCGGCGGCGGCGGCGGCGGCGGCGGCGGCGGCAGCAGCGGCAACGGCAGCAACAGCAGCAGAGGCAACAGAAGCTCGAATCGCATAGAACTATGCACAAGATAGATGAACTTTTACAATCTGCCCTTATCGTGGAGAGAATGCCGACGATACGGTGGTTTAAAATTGTCTTCTCAAAATTATCTCTCGTCCCTTCCGACACATATATGTCGCAGTCATATTTTCTTCTTCTTTTTATTACGTAAAAATCGTCCTTGCGAGAGACTTGTCGCTGCCATCAGTAATATGTTTCGCAGCTAACAGCCGTGTTCCACAAGGGCATGAAGAAAGAGTACGAGAGAGGGGGGGGAGGAAGAGAGAGAGAGAGAGAGAGAGAGAGAGAGAGAGAGAGAGAGAGAGAGAGAGAGAGAGAGAGAGAGCGCAAAGGAGGAATAAATTACGACGAAGCGAGCTATTCGATGTAAACTTACCGGAAAACGGATATATGTATAAACACAGCGAGCATGAAGAACCCGCAGTGAAGAACTCGTAAAAATAAAACGCAGAGCGAAAGGAGATAGGAAGAAGAAAGGTGCGCGCGTCTCTTCTCTCTTCTCTCTCTCCTCTCTCCTCTCCTCTCTTTCCGCCTTTGCCGTTTCTTCTCTCGACCATTCATTCACCGCGGCCTATTCACGGTACGTTTATCTACCTGCCCATCATGGGATCCCCATTAAAGACGGGTTCCATTCACCTACGCGCGCAATGACGAACTTATCCCTCGGATCTTGGCAGGCAGTCAATGTCTACGGTTCCCTTTTGATCCTCGCTTCGAGACGGCGATGAGAGGAACATTTGATAATTCTTGACGCCGCGACAGACAGAAATTGAATCGCTATTGACTCGGTTTTTCGGGGTGGAGTTACGTTTTACCGGAGTAATATCGGACGCGCCCCGAGAGTAACTAATGACGTAATGCACGCGCGAGTTAACGCGCGGATGAAACCTGGCCGACGTTGAACAGGATTCGTGTCATTTCCATCGTTATTAACGTCAGCTCGCTTCGACTGAGCCTTCGCTGAGTATCTTTCCACGAGCTTTGCTGCGAAAACGCGAACACACACGTGCTGAAAAAGTGAAAATCGGGCAAAGAGAATCCAGCCTCGGGCTTGCGCAAATTTTTCTGCACAAATTGCGGTCGAAACAAATTGACTAAAAATCATACTACGTGCGTGAAACGTGCAAGCAGTAAGCAGATTGATCGCAGATCGACCGCAGTCGGTTATTTTTGGCTCGTGAAAAGGATCATAATAGCGGATAATCAGCCTAAGTCCGGCGAAGTGAAGCGGCTCGTCGCGCTCACCGTAATAAGGTGTGTCTCGAAAATCGCAGATTATATGTATCGCGATACAGCGATGCGGCGACCGAGCGGGCCGTGAATTAGCCAATAGACGATAATATCAGTGGCGCTTGCTTCCCGAAGGAACGAGAGGGACACGGGGGCTCGTAAGGCTTGTTTTCCGTGGTATATGGGGATGACGGGCGTCACCGACAGCGCCGCGGCTAATTTC